CCCCCCCCCCCCCCCCAACATTGACATACTTATTGTGATTTTATGTCACACAAATAGTAGTAAATATAAATGTCAAGTGGATACGTTCACTTAGCTCGCAGTAAAATTCAAGGACCTTTCAAGCACTTTAGAGGGAAATTTTCTAACTTTTCTTGCACTACACTTTGGAGATAAAAACAATACAAATTAACTACAAAAATTGTTTTAAGTAATTAATATATGACAAAATTATAAAGAAAATTCTAATTTAACAACAACAAAAAAATCCCCCAATTTGAATAATTTTTCCGAACTATAAAATAAGACAATCAATAACTTGTTGAGTTATTGGAAATAATAAATATTGATTACATTGGAACAATCCAAACAAAAGTAATGTTAAGGTAAATGACCTTCCTGCTCAAATTAAATGCTTCATAGGAACACAGGTCAATAAAGAAACAAAGAAATTCACAAAAAAGTGTTCTTACGTTTTCTGGCATTTAGTAAATAGAAATAACTTTGGCAATTCTAACTGGCCTAAAGCATGAAATGTTTCGTCTGATTCAACAGACGGTGAGAAGAAATGTATCTGTGTCTTTTATTAAGTGTCTGAACATGTTTGGTTTCAGCTGTAGACAACACATGTGGGCTTTTAATCGACTATTAGATTGCAAAACTGTCAGGTTTAAATGTCAAGCACTTCAAAGACTTTCCAAACCTTGAAAAACACCAAAATGAAATTCAAGCATTTTCACGGATTTCAAGCACCCCGAGCCTGACATATGTTTGCCTTCAGACCCTTTTAGGTCTCTCAAAAAAAAAAAATCTTTTTTTTTTTCTTTTAGACTTCTATCAAAACAATAAACCGAGCCAACCCTCACACTGCAGATTCTCTGACCGTAAAACATTCGTCTCGCCAGACGCGTCCCGATTACTTGCACGGGTCAGATGACGCCTAGAAACCCCGTGAAGCCTCTCCACCGACACGAACGCACCTGTCTTGGCTCCGGGTGTTGCTCGGCGCCGCAGTGAGCGGTCCAGCAGCTGATGGGTTCTGGTGGGACTGGCCCCCGCCATCAGCCTGGCAGTAGCTTCGTGAAGGAACAACTGGAGAGAAGCAGAGGGCAGAGAGAGATCAGAGCCAAACAGGAGGAACAAGAGCGAGAGACGATGACTCACACCTAACGCTCAGCTCTACCTCAGAGAGACTCTCTGTGAACAATGCTGCCACACACTTGCCTAAGGCTATGTGTGTGTGTGTGTGTGTGTGTGTGTGTGTTAGGAGTGGAAGTGAGAAGAATTTTATTTTTTGACTGAGAATTGCTCCACAGACTCCCTGTGAACAATCAGCTTCAGTCAGAGCTGCTTTGGGTTGTGTTGCCGATTTAAACATGGCGGTTTAAAAATGGATGAGTTTGTGTTTAAAGGAAGCAGCAATGTGCTCACCATCTCTAGGGATTTATTATGATGGATTCTATAACGACACAAAGCGTATCTATGTGTTGTTATAAAAGCCTTTTATTGGGCAAGAAATCTGAAAAATCCAACCTTCAAGTTGAGTACGTTTATGCAGAAAGGCGAACAAAATTCCTGCAAAATTAAAAAAAAAAAAAAAAAAGGTTTTAAAGTTAAACAGAGTGACTAGAGTGGGAGTTTGCTGAACTGTAGTGGGACTTTAGCTTTGGTCAGATGGCGCTAAGATCAGGTGGGATTAATGTGGAACAAAGGATAAATATGTAAGGAAGCACCTTATGCTCACTGATGAGCACGGTGGAGGATCTGTGATGCTGTGGGCCTGTTTCTCTTCCAAAGGAATGACCGTGTCAAAATGATGAAATCTTAAATTTTGTGGAACATTTAGTATAATCTGTTCGACCAGTAAAGAAAAAAATGGGTCGCTTTCAGGAGAGTTTTAATCCAAACCAACCCTGAAATGGTTCACCAAACCCAAAATCAACCTTTCTTATCGGTCGAATAGCAACCGATCCGTTAAAGCAGTTTGTCAACCACCTGAAAACACACGGGTAAAAATTGCACGTACTCTTCGCATTGCGGGTCTGAAGCTGTGTGCCAGCTTGCGCAGGGAGCAGAGGTCCTGCTGGAAGCCCTGAAGTTCTGGTGGCGACGCCTGATGAAGGCCGGCAGGACCGCTGGAGCCGGCCAAGCCGGACCCTGTGGGACTCGTCCCCTGCTGCTGCAAGCGCCAGATGTTGGTCCTCAAAACCAGCAGGAGGTCGCACACCATTAACTCGACGACCTGTAGAAATATTGACCGCATTGGTTGAAGTACGCAAATAGGATGCGAGTTGGCGTCACGAAAATGTGTTACGTGAAATATTTCATATTTTTAATGGTTGTTTTTACCTTCCACGTGTAGACTGAAAAGAAAACCTACAGAGATTTTATAAAGCAGAAACAAACCCTCCCTTCTCCTCCATCCTGTGAGTGTGTGTGTGTGTGTGATTGTGTGTTTGTGTGTTCTGCTGCTCTTGGTCCAGCTCTGTGTTGCACTGCAGGTACATTGCACTCTTAGGAGACACACATGCAATGCAACTACAATGCACCGCAGCTCTGGCCATAGACACACACACACACACACACATACACACACACACACACACACACACACACACACACACACACAAAAACACAGCACACTCATTTTGAGCTGCAAATCCACCAGAATCACCATCTGGTAGAAACCACAGGGAGGGCAGCCGCAGCGCCCCACAGAGGAACCGAGGAACTACTGCAGGGGGGGAATCTGGAGATCTGAGGCCAGGGAAAAATCCTGCGGCTTTTGTGTGCAAATAATATCCTAAACGTGATTTTTTTTTCCCTTCAGTTTTTTGTTCTTTTTTTGTATTCCACTGTAAGCTTTTAAAAGGTAAATCAGCTCGACTCCAGCATGTGCGTACCTTGTCCAAGCTGGAGCTGTGGCAGTGCGGTCCCAGGTTGAGGCTGTCTCGGAGCAGGGCGCTGGCCTTGTCAGTGTGGCTCAGACTCAGCTGGCAGTTTTCTGGCTTGGACAGCAGAGCTCTGACTGCCCTGAATGTGTTGAGGCACGCTTTGGGCAGAAGACTCCTGCCAGAACCAGCGGCAAATCAGACAAAGGACACAGGTTAAAGCAGTGCAAGTGTGTGACTGTGTGTGTGTGTGTGTGTGTGTGTGTGTGGGGGGGTAAGGGAACTTACTCTGCGTTCTGCAGGCTGCGAGGCAGGTGCTCCACGGTCGGATAGAGCCTCTCTGCTGCAGCATCATCTCCTTGAAGCCAATTGATGATCACTATGGCAACCGAGGACCACCATTTAGAGTGGGGGTCGCAGCCTGGTGATTGGAGAAGAAAAAAAAAAAGTAAAAAAAAAAAAATGAGACACCCTCCCGTAGACAGGCAATTATGCAAATATTCGAATCCCCCACTGGCTTTTTTTCCACCCCACATTTAACATGCATCACAATACACAAAGACAGCTGCTGTCTATATCCTGAGCCCTGAATCATTCTCTCTGGTAGAGTCCCACCTTGCACCCACAGCGAGATCTTAAGTTTTAAGGAGGGTAATATATTCTGCTGCACACCCATGCAAACCTCCACAAGCACATTTTAAAACACCGAGAGCATCCCGAAGCTCTGCCAACAAAAAGTTTCCGATTAAAAACCCCGGCACAGCCTCGCTTCCCTTCCTCCTTTCAAGGTGATCACAGATTTGACAGTGCTGAAGATAAATGAAGCAATTCGGTGTGCCTCCATTTTACCGGGTTCCCTTTTTTTTTTTTTTTTAATTTCTTTCTCTTTTTTTAAGCTTAGATTAGTGGAGACAAAAAGATGTGCTGCGGGGCTGAAAGTCGACTGGAAATCAGACTACGTGATTTCCAAAGAGTATAAATGGACTTTGTTGGCGATTTGATTTAGTAAAAAACACCCAGGTAATGACACGGCTGGGACATGTAAAGGCAAAATGAAGCAATGCATTAAGAGGTTAAATTAAAAGCCATTTTTTCTGTCGTGATTTTCCAGGAATGTTATAATTTGTAATTCTGACTTATCAATTGCTTGAATTATTGCAGAATGGAACAGAATCAGCCTTTATTTTCCCGTAAAGGGGAAAACTGGATGTAAAAGTTCTCAATAAAAGTTCTTAAAGTGTTAAAAACAATACATTAAAAAAACTAGCTTAATAATAACAGCAGCATAATCTACTGTACAAAACTGTAATATGATTAAATACTGTGCAGTTATTAGGAAGTATGATACTTCTATAGAATAAAATAATAACGATTGTCATAACTATTACTATATTTCATGCATTTTCTGTTCAACATAAAGGCAGGTTTAATTACTCGATTATATTTTTATTGTACAACATTATATGATTACAGCATTATTATTTACAAAGGCATGTTTTATTTATGTATTTTAAATATTTTATTTGATAAGATTATTATTATTGTTATTATTATTATTTACAAAGATGCTGTTTTAATTCTTATTAATACTATCAATGTTGTAAAAATTAACCAGCATTTTTTATTCCTTTTTTTTTTTTAAGTGTGAATATTCTAAATTAATATTTAACTATGACAATCATCATCATTTACAGAAAGAAAAAGAAAAAAGTTGTCATAATTACCATTGTTTTCAAAAAACTTCTGATCAAACTTTTAATATTCTAATTATTTTGAACCTACCGGTCACAGTGGCCATGTTGGAGCCGATTGCAAAGGACTGGGACGTTGCACCGGCGGCGTCGGACGCACTAATCAACAGCTGGAGGTACTCCAAGGCGTCGGCGTACTCCCTGGTAGCAGAGACCAGTCAAAAGGTCAACAAGTGCTCCAACATTCTCATTTATTAGGAACTTTTTCACAATCGAGGGAACTTTTCGTGTCTTTTAGAAAATAAATAATGAATACTGGTCAAAAAAATAAAAAATAAAAAAAGACAAGAAAAGAAAAGAAAAGAAACAGAGACATGTTTAAAAGCCCCCGGTGTTTTCTCACCCGTCAGCCTGGTTGGGACTCTTCTCTCCGTGCGGCTGGGCGACGCAGTAAAGAGCCTTTTCGAGAAGGTGCTCTCTGAAAGCCTGAGTCAACTGGGCCAGAGGGTCCACTGTAGGAACGCCAAGCCATTTAAATTATTTCAGAATAGCTTTCAGGGGAAGTAAAAAAACAATTCAATGGACTAAATTAGGCCACGTTAGGTAACTGGTGGCCTACCAGTGTTTCCGGCCTGGCTGTAGATGCTTTCTTTAGGCGTGCTGCGAATGGCCCAGTCCCCGTCCACGAAGAAGCGGTGTCCGAGCGGGTGACAGAGCCACTGCATGGCCGGAGGCACGCAGCCGCTGGACGACAGGCACGCCTGGCGGGCACTGCTCAGGAACACACGCTGTCGGTCGGGAGAGAAGACGGAGCTTTGTTCAGCGAGGCTCGCTTGACTTCAGTCACCGAAGGCTTCTGACTGATTGATATAAGCGTGGGAATGACGACTCACAGAGGTAAAATGGAGGATCCTTGGCAGGCTGGCTTTGACTCGTAGCGCTGCAGAGACGTAGACCTCAGCCAGGCTGGCTACAGGCAGGCATGAGCCAGCACATTCTGCCAGGTTCACCGCACTTAAAGCCATGTGGACTGCCGACAGGTGGCTGCCGTTCAGCTTCCCTGCACAAACACACACACACAAAAAAAAAAGGTTCATAACATCCACAATTTTTCCTATCGTTATATATGATATTAGCATAGACCAAAGATTTCATTTTAAGAAGTCAAATCAGATTAACATAAGCTAAGTTGTGCTGTTAAATCTACCTGTCATGTGAAGCTGGTGCAGGCGGTGATAAACCAAGGCGGCATCACGGCTGCTTTTACACGCGTCCTCCTGCAGGGGGCGATCGCTACGCAGACCTCCAGCCCTTGCAGCGAGCCAGCGGCCGACCCAGAGGCGCTGCAGGCAGAACCTCAGCAGGGACCAGAGCACCGCGCAGGTCAGGTCCAACTGGGAGGTGGGCAGGGGGCGACCCAGTGCCTTCAGACAGGTTCGGAGGTTATGACTGGCCTGAGCAAAATCCCCCTGAAGGGAAAGAAGACAGAATGTAAGACATGGATGAATCATCATTCAAAAGGCTGATTAATAACCAGACCATCTTACTCTGGCCAGGTCCAGGTCGGCCTGTTTGCGGTGTCTCCAGAACAGCACAGACGATCCCGAGTGCGGACGGGTCACGGGCTCGCCGTAAACCAACAATCGGATCAGAACTCCCGACACCAGAATACCGTTCAGCAGCCACACCAATATGGTGGGGAGCATCCAATCCATCCAGCCCCAAGACTCAGCTACGGACAGCATGGAAACACTCAGTAACGAGCAAAAAAAAAAACTCCGGTAGACAACCGCTACGACGAACCAGCAGGTTTACCTGGAATATCTACACCCAAGACGCTTCTCCCTGCGTGATGGGGGGTAATGTCGGCAGCGTTTCCTGCAGAGCTGCTGCCGGATGAGCAGAGCAAAGCAGCCAGCGGGTTGAGGGAGAGGAAGAAGAAGGTAAAAGCGCACAACGCCATGCGGGAGCGGTCCAGCATGCCTCCGACTACGCCACCTGCTGCAGACTGGTCCAGCAAGCCTAAATGGGACTGCAGCAAAGGGAGATCCAGAAAAGGACAATTAGGGTAAATTTAACCTAACATAATTTTTTTTTTTAAAAACTGACTGTCTCGCAACTTTCAAAACCGCTGCCTGGCAAATTAAATGTTCGCCACACACCTTTGTGTCCTCTCCCATGGGACTGTCGGGCTCCGAGTCGCTGCTGCAGTGCGAGAAGGAGGTCGGGGAGCCGACGTCGGAGGCTGGCGGAGTGGGCAGCTCGTTCTTCACTTCTGCCTGAGTGTCCACCTCCATGGCAACCAGGTCTTTGAGAGACTCTTTGGAAGGCAGAAGAAAGAAGTCACACACACACACACAAAGAAAGAACAGTCAGAGTGTCGACCAACAGCTCGGAGGGCTTTAGCCCGGCTTAATGGCGCGCTTAAGAACACAGACAAGATGAGGGCTCAAATGCTCACTGTTCTTCTGAGCTGCTACTTTCAGAGCCATGTTCTCCTGTTTGAGCTTCTGGTTCGTCTGCTGCAGGTAGCGGATGTAGTCGATGGCTTTCCTGAGGACAGCCGACTTGTTGAGCTAAAGGAGAGGAAGGAAAAACACGGAGTGGATGTAATAAAGATCAAACACAGCATCTACACCGGGCAGCCATTACATTACGACCAGAACCAAGAACACGAAATAGCATTGCAGCATAGCATAGCAGAGCATAGAATAAACAGTTTCCAACCTTGGCTTCAGTGCCAGCGACAATGTCTTTCAGCTCCACTATTTTATCGTTGATGGAGGAGCGATAGCGCTTCTCGATGGCGTTGTGAGCCGTGCGCTTCTCCCCCTTGTGCGGCTGGCCTGACGGCTTGCCGGCGATGGCGATGCGGTTGATGGGAAGCTTTTCCGCGTCCACCATCACAGGCACGGTGGTCAGGATGGTACCCCCACCCATAAAAGCCTACAGACGGATGGAACTCAGGAAAGTTTTCTCGAATGTAAAATTCACAATTTACACTGACATCTGCCCTCTTCTGCTACCTGCAGGGCAGTGCTCTGAACCGGGCTGGTGGTGGTCGCTAGGGACGTAGGAGAGGCCATGGTTGTGACCATACACGGGTCAGGCTTTAAAGTGGTGAGCAGTACGGACTCAGCCTTTATGAACTGGGGCTGCAGCAGCACCTGATGCAAACACACACAGACCAAAGACCCATCATCAAGGAAGGCATCCTTTATCCAGCCCAGGAGCAATCAAGGAGCGGCCTCACACACTTACAGGTACTTGTTGTACTTGGGTTGTGATGGTCTGTGCTGGAGGGCTAGCTGAGGTGGCCAGGAGCGGGGAGGCAGTGGTCAGGCCTTGAAGCTGGGTCTGAATGGTCACCGACTGGACGCTGGGAGGCGAGGACGATAAGCTGGTGGCAGGAGGGCTCACGCTGCTGGGGCTGACGGCTGCAAAAAGAGTGACAGCGCCGTTAAACCAAGCAGGTTAAACTCGATAAAACATCACTTTAATTTTTTTTTTTTTTCTTTCAGAGGAATTAATATGGGTATTTGCTGTATTTTTTTATTGCAGCTGAAGTGCTGCACATGTGGCACATCAACACTGGCAATCAAGCAAAGTCTAAAGGCGGCAAATGTTTTGTGAAAAAGAATCAGTGGATGGAAGCAGTTCAAATGCTAAAACTTTTATGTCTTTATACCGACTGCAAAGTATTTATCGTAATCTTTTGTTATCTTATCACTTCTTTAAAAAGCCTATCTTTTATTTCACTAAAAGAAAGGTGGCAAGTGAGTAAACTTTATTTATATAGCACCTTTCACTGGCAAAAATCACAAAGTGCTATAAAACGATCTAGAAAAACAAGCTGACAAAAACAATAAGAGGTGCATTTAAGAAAAAGCTTGTCTAAATAAAAAATAAAAAAAAAGTTGTAGTTTTCTAAAAATGTGTCATTTCAGAATTATGCAAGCAAGCATAAAAAACTGAAGCATTCCTGGACGAAGGTGGTCTAAAAATACCGATATGCAAGCAGAAAGCAGAGGTTTGCCTGCAGCTGTAAAACTTTTCTGTCGTTATTTGGGGTGGAAAGCAGTTGGAAAAACATCAGCTGAATATCAGGTGAGAAACACTCAAACAGTTTGTTCAGAATAGGTATTGATTATTTAGCAATTAGATCATCACTTCCTCTGGAAGGCGAACAGAAGTCAAATGGACGCAGAAAGTGATTCAACATAAATCCCAAATCTAGACGTCGTGAAACGTAAAAGTAATTCAGACATAAGCCAGGAATGCAAATTTCTTGCCATCGGGTTATTGGAACAGATGAAGGACTTCATGCGGCGACACAAGAAGCAAAACCATTTTTGGGCCCTTTTGCCAATATTCTAACTAAGCCTGTAATTCCATAAAACGATTTGTTAATAAGTGTGTAGACTGAAGATAACCTTTTACCCATTTAGAAATTTCAGTGAGTCGTTCCATACCTCCTCTTATCACGTGAAACTGAGATAATGGTTACATGTGCCAAACCGCACCTGGGTCAGAGACTTTAGCCATGCGGTAATAAAAAAAAAAAAAAAAAAGGAAAAAATCCAATAAAAATTAAAAAAAGAACTATAAAAAAAAAAAAAAAAAGAACTACATCATCCTAACCCCAGTGAACACCTCAGAATATCTCCTTAGCTCAGCGAATCGGAGAGTTGCTTCTACGCATAATCTAAACTAATTATTGCGTATGCACGTATAAGACACTACACAGTAGCTACTGCACTCTGCTGAACCCTATATCTGCAGAGGGTATTGTGCAAACGCAGAACTTTGATAATAGTTTGCAACATTTATTTAGCCAGGGCTATTAGACAGAAATTAGTTGCAATATCCAGAGGCTTCTTTGTTGTCACACCTCAACATCTAATTAATGATTGTAGCAGAAGACACAGGACATTATTAAAATGAACACAAACTATTAAGCGGACATGAGCAGAGGATAAATTGACAGCACTCGAAGAGCTTATTATGTAATTAAGCAGCTTTACAACACTAGTCAGTCTGAGCCATTAACACAGCAATTCGTACACCATTCGTTCAAATAAGCCCATACTGAGACACCGGTGACATAGGGACAACTTTTTTTTTTTTCTTTAACTCACATTAAAGATCAAAACATTGCGAACGTCAATTCGTGATGGATATTAGTCTGTGACACACAGAGAAAACGATTGTGGAACTGCACTGAAAAATTTCTGATTTTCCAGCTTTTCGAGCTTACACGTCTTTCTCTTCCGACACGTTCGCCACCCTGCAGAGGACTTACCCGTAAAGCTACTTTGGCTCTGAAACTTGCTCTGGGCCTGCGGTTGTGCCTGGGGCTGAGGCGCAGTCTGAGGCGCAGGGGATGTGAAGAGTGTCTGTGTCGGGGAGCTGAACACCGGATTTGGACCTGGCGAGCCGTGAGGGGACGACGCTGCTGCCTGCGCGGCGGCAGGCGGGCTGACGCTCGGCTGGGGCTGCTCCACGAGGGGCTGTCTGAGGCTCTGAGCCTGCTGGCTCGACGACGGCTGCTGCTGCTGCTGCCTCTGTGCGGTGCTGGCTACCTGAGCCAGGGGAGACTGCTGGAAGGTGGCGGGCTGGAAGGCCTTGTCCGGGGCCGAGGAGCTGCGGCTGATGGGCGGGCCCAACAGGGCGTCTAAGTGGGGGTTGCTGCTCAGGATGGAGGAAGTGGTGGTGGATGAAGGTGTGGGAGCGGTGGCAGGAGGAGAAACAGAGGTGATGGTCTGGGACAAGGCATTCATCTCTTGGGTGGAAGGGCTCCCTGCGAAGGGAGTGGAGTCAAAGAGTCCTCCAAACTCCATGTCCTGATTGTTGATGAGCTGAAGCATGTCTGCAGAAGCGCAGAAAAAACAAAACAAAACAGAAATAATTAGGAATGTTACCCATAAACCAGAAATAAACCTTATAGTTACTCCATTAAGAGATAAAAAAGGATCTGTTAAAAATTGAAATACAAATGTGATAAAAAGGTGAAAAGGCAAAGTGACAGCTAAGATCAGAGGTTTAAAAGGCATCTGGAGTGTGTCTGCTCTCTGTCCTGGATCAGGTCCAGTGTAGCCATAGGAACCAGGACCTGAACATTACCAGAGACCCCTCACACACTCCACACGAACTTCCTGGAACTGTTGCTACCAGGCAAACAGTACCACATCAAAAGCAGAACCTTCCAGACGGACGCACAGCTTTCTGCCTCAAGCTGTTTAAACGCCAAAGTGAAGGTGAAGAATATGCGCTTCACCTTTGTCTGTGTCGTGTTTTATCCATTTGTGTTTTTCTTTAATAATTTTTTTTTTTTACACTGGTGGAAATTTTGAGAAAATCCTGCCTTGTTTCTTTTTCTTTGCTAAATGATGGTATGCAATTTGAATATCTACTGGTACGTACAGAGTGGTGGTAGTATATCAGTCTGGGGCTGGTTGAGAACCTGGATGACTTGCAACTTTCTTTTGAGTCATTTTTGTATTCCAGAAATAAGAATGTGCATTAATAATACATAATATATCCAGCTGTTTGCATTTATTAAGCTTTTTTTTAACCAAAGCACTGCCATTTCATTTATAAAACAGTCAATACCAAAACTTCTAATGATAATTGGATTTCCAAGGTATAACCAGTTTGAGAACTCTCTCTTGACAAAGATAAAGTGTTCTTTGCAAATACTGAAAATAATTTCCCACTTCTACATTTAACTGGATAAAGCATAGAATGATCGCATCCATGAAACGCGCTGCCGGATGTATGTTGTGTCTGCTGTGCAACGCTGAAGCCTGAATGTATAAAAACCACTGTTGTGTATGAGGTGATCGCTCTTGACCAATCAGAGCGCGGCTCTCAGACTTGCTATGCCGATCAGACCAAGACAGCGAGGAGAGAGAGAGAGAGAGATGCTTGGCTTCCACTGGAGGTTACCATCGTGCAGCGTCACCAGTGGGTTACAGTCGGTCAAATTTAGGAGAGCACGACCGAATACTGTTTACCCACACCCGTTTATCGTGCTACACGTTGGCTGTGCTCATAAAACACACATTGAAGAACGGTGGAGAATCTTTAGGAGACAGAAAATCTTGCATTATTGATAAAAAAAAAGCAGTTTCCCCCCTCCTTAATACAAACTGTGGAACGTATTATAATTCACAAGGATTTAAGCTAAAAGACACAGCTAGGCGTAATAACGCAGAATTGTCGTATTATATTAGGGCAAACCGTAAAAACTTGTTAATTCGGTCAACTAAGGGAGCTGAACCCAGGAAGGAGGAATGAACGACAGTAACCTCTGTCGGCGAGGCACGCTGGGGGCGGGGCTCACTCACAACCGTTAGCAGCACATTAGCCTCACTTGCTAAAATTAGCAATAGAATAACCAATTTGTGCACATTTAAGTTATAGTGAAAACCACTTACAACACAAATCTATTAATTTTACGTATAAAACCAAAGGGAACCATTTTAGAAAACTCAAAAGCTAAATAGCTAATTCTAGCTATGTGTCTTATTAAGACACTATAAGCTGTTTGAGCCATTAACTTTGTTTTTGCCGTTTGTTACAAAATGCACAACCCACATTACTAAAGAAATAACAGAGAAAAGTCCATGCAGTGCTTACTCTTGCAGCTCTTTAAACATGACTGACTTAACAGGTATCCATATAAATAAATGCACAACTCCTTACCATCGATGTCGCTTAAGAGGGCCGTGTCAATTTCACTTGGGTCGTTAAGAGACAGTGTTGGATCCAGATCCAACGAAGGATCGTCAAAAGACAGGCGGTTCATCTTCACTCTCGTCTGATTCTATGGACCACAGAGTCGGTTCGACGTGCTATCTCAAATCTCAGAAAGCTGGAGAGTTTTTTTATCGTTTACGTCCCTACATTTGATAAACTGTCGGATCCCAAGTCGACCTAAAACTTATCCAGGATGCGCTGTTTGCCGATATGTCAACGAAACTATACACACCAACCCGCCATGATCGTCGCTGGGAAACTTGTCAAACCGAGTCAAACACTGAGGCTCATTCAGCACTAACCCACACAACCCTGAAGACTGACAGGTGAGCCAGCCAATCAGCGAGCTTCTAGCAGATTCCCACGATTCTCATGATTGTTTTGATTGCTGAGCAAACCGATGAAACAATGTGGAGTGCATTTCAATAATTTTATAAGACAGTTCAAGAGACGTTATGGTTATTAATTTGTGATAAATACGACACATTACTATAGCTCATTAATTATTAATCCAATGACAAGGAATAACTGAAAACGCCAACAAAACCATAACTGTGCTACGTACTGATATGAATTCTAATATTCAATTCAGTAATGTTTACTCCATCTTAAATTACGATAACAAATTCTTAATATTGAAGGCAGCAGCGTGCATTTGTTTATTATGGGACTGCCGCGAAACAACCAATCAAAATCCCGTGTGGGAGGGAGCTGCCGGTAGTTAAGTTTGTCTGACCGGAATCAGCACCTCCTCCTGTAGAACCAGCGAAATTGTCCAATGAGAAGCTGAGAATCGGAGTGGGGTGATTCGACGTCACAGCTCTGAATCTGAGCGATTACATCATGTGCTGCTGTCGTGCAGGAGTGGAAGTAGCAACACTAAAATAAAACGAAGGTACTTTTGTGAAAACAAAAAACTAAAATTGTAGATGTAACTTATTTATTGAAACTTACAAACAAACAATTTAAATCCCAACATAAAAATAACTTTAATAAAAATAGATTCAAACGATATAGTTCAGCAAAACAAAAAACTAAAGTCTTAGTACTTTTGATTTTTAACAAAAAATTAAACAGGTTATGCTTAAAAAAACAAAAAGCACATATATTCTAAAAGATTGCAATTAAAACAAGATATCTTCTATAAACAAATAAGTATCTTTAAAATTCTATGGAAATAGGTCAATGACCTAAGGGAGCACTACATTGACAGTGTAGTGTAATAACCTTGTATTTTTGGGGAGGGTTATTGAGCATGTCATGCTAATTTTACAAACAAAACTAATTATTTACACAAATGACAGATTTGGGTTTTATTCTAAAATGTAAAATAAACCAGTAATGTACTGCACATCTTGTATAGTACCTCTGGGGAACAAGATGTATCTGAAATGTCTGAAAATTTTCTTAAACAGTATTCCTTAACGTTTTCTGGAAGTCTTTTAAAATTTATCTTCTTAAAACCAGTGATTTTAAGACCAAGTCAAAAGAAATGAAGTTTGATTCAGTTTTTTGCACAGCATCATGGGAACAAAATTTGTTACTGCCTACATGACTAGTAGTTAAATGGAGAATGTATCCATATCCAATAATAAAAACAGACTAATGAGGTAGAGGTCACACATTGCTAGTGCTTTTATTGGGCAGTCACACACGTGCAAAGAGTCAAATACAAATCTGATTGTAAGTAATGGCAGCAGACAGTAAGGTACAGCCAAACAGACGTCGAACACCTGAGATGTCCAAACTTCGAGTACATACATTGTGCATTAATCCAGTTAATGACATACTGTATCCAAATATAGACAGCTAAGACATTTGTGAAAAATATTTTTGCAATCTTCGAAAAAAAAGTAACGAAAACACTGTTACTGATCCAAAGACTTGTAAAACACAAATACTGAAAATAGCAGAAGTTTCATTTGAAATCACCTCTGACGACTTTCTTGGTATCCGTCATTGAACAACCTGCACAGTAAGAGTTTTCAAAAAAAACAACAAAAAAACAAAAGGACTACAATTAATATCTCAGTTACCTGGCAACCATATTAAAACAGTGGTAACGATACAGCATTAATACCAAGTAAAGATCAATACTACATTTGAACCAAGTTACATTTGAATATTACAAGGACTATGGAGAAAATAAAATATTGAGACTTTAGTAACTTTGTGAAAATAACAAATCATAGTTGTTTCCCTATAATCAGAGGTTCCGAATGAAAACTATTGATTCTAGTTATTTATTAGGCGTTTATATCAGTTTATATTGGGGAAAACAGGTACCGTTATAATAATTAAATAAAATTAAAATAGGGGGGGATTTTTTTATTGGCTTGATAATTTCCATCTAAACCAAAGCTAAACTGTGGTTGGAAACATCTGTAACATAGGCAGAAATGTCATGCTAGAATAAACATCTGCCTCCCACCGCACCCAACAATGTTGTGAACGATACATGAACTATAATAATAAAATATAAAATAAATGTTAAATATTAAATCAGGAGAGTATTTTGACGTTTATAGACTTTATAGCATTAAATGTACGGGGACCTATCGGTGAGAATGCACATTTTTAAAGCTTGCATCATTCTAGTTTCAATACGCTGTCATGTAGGCAATTTTAAAGCCAAGCACTGTTCATACTGATCATAAAAATAATGGAGGTTTTCCTATGCGAATGCCTAATATTGCTGCTTTATCAAAACTTAAACTTGATATCCTGGTAGGAACCCAAACAAAAACTGGAGAGATGAAGAAACAAAAGCAGTGTGCGAAGTGAAGACATTTTTAAGATTCTTTCCCATCCCTAAAAAAATATTAACTTTACAAACAAAAAAGAAAAAAAAAAAAAACAAACAAAAAAAACATTTGTTTTTGCATCAAAGTGCAGATATCATAATTCATTTAAAAAAAAGTGTATTCTCTCTACTGTCCATGCATGTTTTGGTAATTAGATCTTATTAGAAATATTAGAGAGAAAAAAAAAGGTTTTTCTCTAATATTTGCTTGCTTTTAAAATAGAAAATGTTCAATTAAAACACAAACTAAAAATACGGTTTGTGACTGTATTTGTGACTGTAAACACAAACTAAGCTAAACTTTTGTGCGTTTGTAGCCAATATATGGGGAAAATTTTTAATTTATATTGATTTACTTTTTTAGTATGAAATGACATTAATCACTTTCTCCATGTCTTGATACAGGCAACTAATCTTACATAAACTGACGATGAGGGATGTTTTGCTTGAACACCTAAAAAGGTATAGTCCCACCTTTCCCCCTTCCCCATCAGAAAACAATCATGTGATGCCATTATTTAAAAACCTTACCCCAACGTTATATATTTGCAGTGATGTTGCGATTTAAAGCATATGTTTTGCTTGTGCAAGTTGAAGCTTGGACGGTGTCGTAATATGAGAAAACGAGACAACATATGTTCATATGGTTCATGTTGTATATGAAAAGAAATCTGCTCAGTTCCAAGTATGAGCATTCCAAAAATGCTCATACTTGAATTTAATATTTCATACTGGATTTTAATTCTGTCAAAAAAAAAAAGGAAAGGAAATTTGACTCTTTTTGTACATGTCCAGAGAGGCATGTAATTCTTCAATCATCACATACGCACATTCGGAGGAGCGTTTTTCTTATGTAAAAGTTTATTTTTTCTAAAATTTTTGAAGAGTTAATAGTAAGATACATATTAACCCAATATTCAGATTGTGAGAAAGATGTCAAAAAATTCACCCTACCCATTTATGAACAAACAGAGTATGTTTTTATACTCTGTACAGAGTATAAAAACATCTGGCCTATTTTAATATCACTTTGCTTGTGATGTTATGGTTTTTTCCCTTGATTAAAAAAAAAAAAAACAACAAAAAAAAACATGTTTTTCGATCAATCACCAAAACATGCACTGACCTCCACAGTTTATGCCCAACGTTTTATACATTCTCTGTGTATAAATTAAAATCTTAGTTGGTCATTAAAGCCTTAACATTCTTTGGAATGGCTAAAAGGTGCTTGTAGCTTGTTGCTGTTCCCGCTTCATGTTTGTATATATTTTTTTTGAATCTACAAAATAGCCAATGGGCAACTCTCTTCCCTTCAGTGCTTTGAAATGCGTTAATGAGTTTCCTTTTGTTGCCGTTACTATTACATTTCCCTTTTGGCTAGAGGTATGCCGTGAAATGCGTGGTTTATTGTGTTTTTCCAGAATATTTCTTTTTAATAATAAATCAGCCTCTTGCTTTGCAGTGTTATTGGCAAGCAGGGTGACACAGCATTTCTATCTATTAAGGATCCTTAAATGGAACATTTGCTGATTTAAAGACATAATCGATGAACCACAACCACCACTGTAGTACATTGTATAGCTTAAACCATTAGAAAAACAAATGCAATTAGCAATTAGCTGAATGTAGTAAAATAATATTCTAACTGTACGCCTGCAGTTTCTGTTCGTCTTAGCAGTAATATACTACATTCTTATGCCACGTGAGACGAGTTAGGTTGTCTTCATTTGGTGGGACTGCTGCAAATGAGCCGCGGGCCTGCAAGTTTTACATCCCACGATAACAGACCTGTACATCCATTCATAGTAAAACTCAAGACGGCAGAGTGTGCAGTAAACGCCATTGACCTCAATGGGTTTAAGCGTAGGAGGAGCAAGGAAGTAGAGCTCACTCGGCACACCACTTCCATTCAGTCGGCAATAAAATGGAACTAGAAGAGCTGCTTTTGGAGGGGAATTGTTTGCGATGACCTTCCGATTCCCCCGCTGGAGAAGCTAATGTTCGCTGCAAACAGTCTACAAGGCAAAGAGGGCGTCCTCCGTCCGCTCAGACTTCTTGTGGGAGCCGGTGGGGGGACGAGCGGGGTGAGGAGGGTTAGCTCCGGGGGGAGACGGCAGAGTGTCCGCTGCCTTAGCTCGCTCCTCCAGGAACTTATCAAACTCTGTAACGAAAAAAATAAATAAAACAATTCATCTCTGACACAGATATCAGTGGAAGAACAGCTCCTACTAAATCTGCACAATGTTTGAGCGATTGGGAAATGCAAAGTTTTGCTTTAACCTTCCTGATCTTTTCCACATCCTGTCACAACACAACCATAAACATATGGTGTTTTACTGGGATGTTACGCTGTTGCGTGGGTTTCTGAAAATCTGAAAAGTGTGGCATGGTTATGTATTCATTCAAGTACCTTCACTGGTCACTCCCTCCTCAGCAGCATCTCCTTTCTATTCAAAAGAAGAAAAAAATGCAGTTATAAAGACACAAACCTTTGTGAGACACCAGGAGGTCCCACGAGTCAAATTGTAAAGTTCACACCAAGTGGCTCATATTCATGCAAACTCATCACACCAAGAAACCTCCCTGAGCCCCTCCATGACCTCAACAACATTCAACCAGTTAACTTTAGTAGGACAGACCCAAACGCAGTGGTAAGTTCAACATTTGTGGAACAAACAAGCTCAAAATGAAAAAAAAAAAAAAAAGATGAAATAAATAACATGAAGTTAAAGGAAAGTATGATTAGTAACATAAAATGGATGTCTAAAATAGGCTACTAAGGAAAAAGAGAGATGATGAAAAGAAAAGAGGAGGGGTGGAAAAAAAAGAAAAGAAAATCAATGCATAAAAAAAAAAGTCTCACCACGTCAGCACAGAGCCACTCCTCTATATCATCCATGACAGAGGACTGCGATACGGGGATCTAAAGAACAAAGCCATGGACGAACCACAGGGTCGCACCAAAGCCACAAAAATAAGAGACAAGCAAACCCCAAAAAACATAAAACAGAGATACAACACACACAGACAACAAGAAGAATCAGCAAAACCTCACAGACTGAAAGGATAAAAAAAAATAAACAAAAATAAAAAAGTAAAAAAAAGGGGGTGGGGGAGGACAAGAAAAAGCTTCTCTAAATATAATGAGCAGCTAATTAGCCAGCCTACATGTGAGAACGGGATCTCCCAGTTTGCATACGGCTCTCATTGATTTCACTGCGCTTGCATAGCTGAACAGCCCATGACTGATGTCGCACAGCCGCAGTCCTTATTCCACATCATTAGCTAATCAGAGATTGATTGGATGCGGAAAGCTGGGAGCACGGGGACAGCGGGGAGACGGGACGGTCGTACGGAGCATGCACGCTCACGGCACGGAGCGCGGGGAGCGCGAGCGGTGCTGCACGGCGTGCAGCAGCGATGACGATGGAAGCCATGTCAGAGGGGATGGCATTTTGGCTCATTCGTGTCTGAACGAGGAGCTTGTAGCTGTGCTACAAAAGTTGGAAAACCTTTCACCAGAGTAAAAGCAGAACATTTAAAACTACTTTGTATTTATTAGAGCAAAATTAGCCTCATAAACCCCTTTAAAATTATTCCGATCTTATGAAATATTATTAAAATCAAAGTTCTCAATCTCATTAAATCATCACAGGTCTACAAAAGCCTTATTCCGAGGCCCTGTTTTACAGTACAAAATGCCGGGGGAGTTCTTTCTTTTTGTGAGAGCATAGTTTATGCAAAGGAGGAGCATATTAAAACACAGCTTGAGGCTAAAAAAAAAAAAAAGCCCTTCAAAAGACAAAAAAAGTCATGCATCTATGAGAAAAGAGGAAAAATTGCAGAGAAGTGAAAAATAACACATCTGTCCCCAACACAAGTCAGTAAATGCAACATTTTGTATATAAAGTGAGATTAAAATAAAAGAATTAAACTCATAAGGCTATAAGTATCTATGTTAGTTGTTTTATTGAGATTATTTACAAGCGAAATGTGCAAGATCTTATAAAACTCCCCACAACACAGCAATCAGCGCCGTAGCATTAACTTTCTTTTCAATTATTTTCCAAAATATTGGAGAGAGCATGAAGACTAAAAACCTCTGTTTGATTTTCTGCACGACCTTGAGGCAGGTCGGTGTAGCCTGACATAGACCATTCAACAGAACTCTGTCTGCTTTGTCCTTGCACTTTTAGCACAGATACACCCCAATGTCAGGGCCGGCCCAAGGATGAATGGGGACCAAAGCTGGATTTCATTTAGGAGCGCGCCTGTAGTGACCGCTGCCTCCCAGCAACTTATTTGTCTGCATATTACATATTAAAAATACTTTTTTTTTTTTTTTTTTTTAGAGTTAAATACTGAGACAAAGCTGAATTCCCAAAACTGACTGTAGCGTAAAGCGTCCTGGAGTTCAATGGACTAGATAAAACGCTGTACAAGTGCATCGCGCTCAAATTAACAAGCATCATTAGACCCAACATTATTCATATTCAAAATTTGAATCGGTGTGATTTTGCTGCATTGGGGTTATCGTGTAAGGTAAAATGAGTGTATGTCCACTCATTTTGTTTTAGTTCATGACTGCTAAGTGACGATGGAGCACATAAAAGCTTGATAAGAACCACTGGGTGCATTGTTAGAATTCAACACCGATAATGAACACAATGTTTAGTGCTCTGTCAAAAACAAAAACAGACAGTATAATAGAGGTGGGCAAAATTAGTTATCTTGAATAATGTTTCCATATTTTAAAAGAGAAACACCATATGAAAACTTTACATGCATAAAACTTAAATATTTTCTCCCAACTAATCCACTTCAAATACATGTTATAAAGTTTGACATTGTTGTTTGACATTTCATCACAATTTTCCCCCCACCACTAGAACACATCTGCATTTAAGATGGAAGTGAACGCTCAAGGAGATTAAACGCCGTTATTGGAATTGGTTAAGGATTTCAGACCACAGTGGTGAGGCGAGGCAAAACAGCAGCTGATGAAGATGATGGATGAAGCTAGCGTAGATGCTGGTAAACAGGACGGGAGGGCTAGGAGGACACACTGTGGATAAGAGTCCTCACCATTCCTTGGGTAATAAGCCAGCTGTCTATGGGCAGCTCCTGATCTGCTGGGTTATCATCCCCTTTTACCCTCAGCTGAATCAACAACAGAATAAGACCTTACACAAGAGAAGAAAGGCCCCGCCACAGCAAAGCACACAGTCCAGAGGAAGAAGACAGAGGAGAAGTCAAAAGTGCAAGAGATGACTTTCATTCACAGGGAATAACGAAAAAATAAGAACAAAAAAAAAGAAATGTATCATTCCGTAAAGATGGAAATGAGAAAAATAAAGTGGGGGGAGGAAAGAATTAGAATTCTATAAAAAAAAGTGAAATATCTTAAAAGGAAAAACTACTTGATGAAAATTGCTCGGAATTTGGGAACACACGACGAGATAACTTCCACGTAAAACTCCAACGTTTGCTGAGGAACAAAGGACAGAAAATCTTGGAAGTAGTTTCAGACTCCTGGGTTGAAGAGTCTGGGAGAACCAACTGCTATCATCCATTTTTAATCCGTCCTTTTAAATGATGAAAAAGATCCAGAGTGAACATGACTGTAACTTAAAACATGTCACTGGTTTAATCCAAACTTGTCCACTTGCTTTCATCTGGAATTAGTGTTGTAAATATAGCCAACAGCTTCAGTTAAATAATTATAGAAAAAAATACACACTGTAAAAAATACAGTATAAACTGTAGGGACCCAAAAATCAGACAGATTTGCAAAAACATCTTGACTTAACCCTAATATAAATACCCCCCCACCCCCTCCACGATTTACATGGTAAATCTGACACAAAGTGGACGCTTTGATGTACTCACCCCACTTGTGTTTTGTTGCCTCACGTCCAAAGCAGAGGCCAAACCTCCCAGGGCATGGGGGTCTTCATATTTTACACTGTGCACCAAACCAATGAAAACTAAAGTTAACACTGGCCATTCAGAAGCAGAAAAGTGAACAAAACACAGATTAGATTAATTCTGAAGCAGGGAATCGGACCTCTAACCTCTGTGGAATTGGTATTAGTGCCGTTATTGTGTAAGGTAAACATCATAAATTAAAGAAACCCCACAATACAGTGGGAGGGAAAGTGTAGCAAACAAACATAGAAGCTTGAGGCAGAATGTAAAAGATCATGGTTTGAGAACGACGATAATGAGAACAGAGGGGGATCAACCCACAACTGCATAATTGCCACTTGGTATCGACCCGACGTCTATGGAAATGTCCACAAGAAAACATACGGAAGGAGGAATTTGCTAATTTAACACAAAATAAAGACTTTACCGATATTAAAACTTACTTTTTGCGCTGCTCCGCCAGTGAGCTGCTCCTGGTTTGGGCAAACATGTCAAAGTCGTCCTTGTGGCCCGACAGAGACGTGAGGGTACTGCTAACACTGTCAGAACCCACATCTGGAACAAGCGACGAGGAGGGGAGGATTGGATGATTTTGACAAAAATAATTAGGTCCCAAATAAAAACACACTTAAAAAAAAAAAAAAAAAAAATCTAAATCAGGAACTAAACATGGAAAGAAGAAGATTCTAGCTATACTGACTATATTATATGAACTAATGCTCATTCAAAGTCCTCCCAGCAGGAGAACTTTTTCCTGTTCTTTGGATCTTTTAGAAAACTAATCATAGCTTTGCGCCTACCAAGACTAGCGAGTGCAGTAGATATGTAGGCTGTGGAAGGGTTGTGGGCCGGGGAGGCCGTGGCTCTCTGGGCGGAGCTGGACGAAGGGCTGGACATAACTCTGGGTGTAACCACGGCAGGGGAGCCCGGGCCCAGGTCTATGAGGTTGTCTTCTGTCGGCTCCGCTAACATCTGAGAGGACAGACAGGAAAACAGAAACTTTAAACTTAAATAAGCGTGAATACGCAAGGTTTGAGATGACGGAATAGCCGATAACGGTTTTGCAGATTAACTAAAATTGTGGTTTATACTGAAGTTTTCTTTCACAGATTGATTGATATGAAGTGTCTCCTATTAGACCAACACCCGGGTTTGACCATTCCAGCCAATATTTTTGAATCGGCTTTGCAAAAGAACAGAGGTACATCGCCTCCCAGAAGTACACTTTCAACTTGAACGTTTCTCATTCAGCAGGATTTAGTGCGATGGACCAACACAAGTGTGACGTTACTGTAAATCAAAGTGACCCTGGTTTATGAAATGACTCACAATTATCTCAATTTGTTTTAGCCACGTCTCCTAAAACTGCCTTTAACTAAATCTTTTGAGGTACATCAGTGACTATTTGCTTCCGATTACACAAACAAATTAAGCTTGAAACAAAGTCTCAATTAAATGTCAAAAACGTGCTGCTTCTTTTCCCCCCACAAGCACAGTCTCTCTCGACGACACTTACCCCGTTGTTTTGTGCAGCTCTGCCCGATCTGTATCTCTCATACCTGTGAGCGACGGAAAATCACTTTCATATTCAAACGCCATATGACAGAGGCGTTTATCAACAACAAATGCTTCAGAAGAACGAGCTCAACGATCAGAGCATGTTCTGTGACATTCATGCATTAGGGGCACCTCTCATATCGAAGGAATATGTTGTTGAGGTCGTCATTGACGTGCAGCAGCTCCTCGGTCACTTCCTCGTTGGACACGCGACTTATCAGCTCGACCACTCTCTGCTGCATGGCGCGGCACGTTCTGTTCAGCTCCTGGGCGGGAGGGACACGCCGACAGATTGACGCGCGCGGGGAAGGGACACAGAAAACAAAAGAGCTGTGAGGACCCCACAGCGCGGCGTGGAAAAAAAAAAAACAACAAAGAAAACCCCGCCAACCCAGAAACAGAAAACATGTTATGGTGAAAACAGAACTGCGCCGAGGTTTTACAAACAAATATCCGTAACCGAGATGAGAATATTTGCTCAACTTCATCCAATGTGATTCCGTAGCACAAAAGATATTAACATGACGATCATAACTGGCAGCAGCTTGCGAGCAGCAAGCCAGATCTGTGGGGCTGACACAAATACCTGAGTGGATTTGGCCAGAGGAGATTAAACTCTGCACGGGTCCCTGTAACGCTGGCCGATTGCCAGTTTGGAGAATTTCACCTCTATTCCTCAGTCTCGCACCTCTTTAAACCGCTGACGGTGTGAAAACTTGGCACACTGCACCCCCTGGTGGACGCTTAGTGCTAATAACAACTCATTTTGGATGCGACAACAGGAAAACGTTTAATTTTGAAATACTTTTAAGTAAAGAAAGGTTGTAGTAACACACACCTTCCAATTCCGACTAAGTTAAAGTAACTGCTAACACTTAGCAGCTGCTCAAGCTATCAGATTCTGTCACAGGAGCCCAAACTTGCTGACATTTAATGCGTTTCTCCTTGTTAACTTGTTGCCATAGTTACACAAAGGTCAGTTCCTGACTAGATAATCGAGTCTATTTCCATGTGGCCTGGGAGAAAAACCTTGGCTTCAAAGGAGGAGAGAGTTTTTCCTTGAAAGCAGCCTGACCCGATCTGGTGAAAAGCCCTGATTGATCTGAGGGGCCTGAACTGAACTAAATGCACCACATGCTACGCTAACATGTATCTTGTTTTAGCAAAGATCGCAAACCAGTGAAGCTTACCAATTGGTAACTCAATGGCAAGGGTAAAGAATTCATTCTCCATGTGTTTTTGAGATTATAAAACTGTTCACATATGAACATTAGTAGAGTTTGAAGCATCACAGTTCAAATGTTACCTGGAGCAGCTCTAGGTCAGAAGCGTCTTCCTGGCCGGGGACCAGCTCCGTAAGCATCTCTGACATGACTTTGATGTTTCCTCTCACGATGTCCAGCTCGCTCCGCAGCCGGGCGATCTGAAAGCACAGCAACTCCATGAAGGGCTTCCAGTCCGTTCCTGCTGACGACGTCTTCAAATCGCATTTTGCTCATTGCACGATTACAAACTCCGCGGCTGAAAGCGCAGCTGTGGAGCTGCGGGTCATCACCTGTTCAGGGGTGGCAGTGACGGGGCTGGGGATGTTGGAGGCCTGCGTGGCGGTGGGAGTGGGCTGAATGGGTTTAGGGCTAACAGCAGCCGAGGCGTTAGGAGCGAGGTACTTCATCATCGCTGGGTCCACTTCAGGCGTGCCCTGCGATTCGAGAGGGAAAACCTGAGCAAAAGCACCTCTGCTGACGAACATGCATAAGGAGTTTGTATTCCTGCCCTCTGCGGCGTGTGGATGGGAGACAAAGCATCCAGGTCGGCCATTGGAAACTCAACGCCTTTCCTCTTCAGCTCCTCATAAATGTGAACCACGCCAGTCAGGTCAGGACTGCTCCTGAAGGCATCGGCCCAGGACTGTTAGGAAAAATAAATAAACGAATGAGGCAAATGTTTAGCTTCTTTTTTTCTTTCCACTGAAAATGAAGGTGAGTGAATAAAGCATCTTCCTCGATAAATATTTAACTGTGTAAACATTCCTTCTGCAAACACTGATAAATAAGTAAACGGTCGCCATCTGTTGGCTGACGTGACCTCATGTAGTAAAAAAAAGCAACACTGGAAACATCTTACAAGTGGAGCATAAGGGACTCACCTGACCTGCGGTAGTTTGCGAAACTACCTTTGAACTTTTCAACACTTTGTTGTGGTGCAACCACGCAATTCAATGAGCTTCGAATTTGAAGCGACAGATCAACACAAAGGAGCACATAATTGAAAAGTGAAAGAGAAAGATGCAGAGTTTTCTTCTTTTTTTTTTTTTTACAAAAAATAAAATATACCCATTTTTTAAAATGTTCCAGTTTTCTTCAAAAGACGTAACAAAATGCGGAGTAGTTCTGGAAACACAACTCGCTAGAGGATGCAAAAGATGTGAGGCTGAAGCAGCAGGTTCGCCTTTCAGCAGGATGACAACCCTAAACACATAGCCAGAGGTACACTGGCCCAGTTAAAGTCCAAACCTAAATCCAATTAACAATCTGGCAAGGCTTGAAAACCATTGTTCATAGAACCTTTTCTTAAAATCCGAGTGAGCTTGAGCTACCTTGCAAAGGTTGAGCAAAACAAAATGTAAAAAGGTTCTATGAAACTTTTAGCAAAGCAATGTTTGTTATGTACCACAGCAACGCTGATTAGGGCAGCTGTAAGCAGGAAAAAAGTAACAATGCACTTATAACATTATAGAAATAGTTACAACACACAGGGAAAAAAAATTAGAGAAAGCTCCATTACTTGTATGAGAGAAAGAACTTTGTCTTGCACTATTGTGGGAGGATTGGCTTTGGGGGAGATGATTTTGACCAGGACGCCGTCAATGAAATCTCTGTGGGCCACGTGGATGTGAAACCTGTGACCGCAGTTCTTTACACACGTCTCCAACACCTGCAGAAAGAAAATCGGTCACGCAGAGAGACGTTACAGGCAGAGCAACGGAGGAGGAAGTTGAGGAATTTGCACAGGCAACAAAGTTTGGTTTGGCAGAAGCTCGGTGTTCTGCCGTTTGGCATAAATGGTAACGGTCTGTGTTTTTTTTACAGACATCCAAAGTATTCTAGAGGCTTTTATATGAGGCACAGAAGGGAAAAAAGGAAACAGTGGAGGAAAAACAAAAAGGAGGATCAACATAAGGAAGGATACAAGAAAGAAAGGAACACAAAAAAGCAAAAAGCAGAACAGTCAATACACTATCAAATAAAAGTCACTGGAGCCAAAAATAATCCTTTAAGAATGGAAGTGAAAACACAGGGAAGAAATAATGAAAAGACATAAGGAAGGACAACATTTGAGATTGTGAATGCAATCTTTTTTCACACTTAGATGTTGAAAATACTAAATTGAAAACTTTTCCAGGCAAAAAGTTTGGAAAGTTCACATACTGCTGAACTTCCTGCATACCACAGGAAGTGAAGGAAGACTCATTTCTGCAGTCCATTAACTGAACAGGAAAACTAACTGACCAACTCATTTTCTCATGTTTTTTTTTTCATTCAAATGTGTTTGTGCACATTCAAGTTTTTCTGCAACACATCCGAGCTTCCTCTGCTCAAAGCTCAATGCGGAATCGCCACGTCCAGCTGAACGTACGAACAACCTACCGTCAGCGCCAGCATGACCTCTCTGTAGTTCTTGTTGCCGCTCAGTCTCTTCTTCAGGGCCCGCATGGCGTCTTTCGGCCTGGAAGGGAGAACAGCGTTGAGTCGATGAGTGCCCCCGCTGCGAGCGAGCAGAACACCTCGGACTTCGCTGGAATGGAGGATTTTCGGGGTCGCGATAACAGATGCCGGTCTGTCTGCGAGTGAAACTATTTGAGTGAGACTGAGAAGAACTGTCACACCATCTGCCTGTCTTCCCCCCTTCTGAATGACGACAGAAAGCCTCTCCCAAAAGGCAAGATCAAAGCTACCCATGCATAAAGAGCTCAGGCTGGCTTCCTGCCTAATACTGCCCATCCCTTCAATGAAGATGGGGCATAATAAGCTCTTATGAGCTCATTCATAAGCGCATAACAGGTACTTAGCAAGGCTGCTGAAACTGATAGAGATGGATGTAGACAAAAAAAAATACAGTCAGAATTTTCGTCTTTTTTTGTGCACGAAGCACACGAGCGCAATCGGAGGACATATTTCAGATTCTTTTGTTTTTTGGGCGTTGCCTCTGTTTTGTTTTATCTTGTTCAAGTGCACGCCATCTGCTGTCACACTTTTAAAAAAAGCTTTGTGTGCAAAAGGCACACACAGCATGTGTTAGGATGACAGCTAACAAAGGTTACTCAAAACATATTCAGAATCTCCCGAACTTCAGCTTTTTTTTGTTTGTTTGTTTTTTTTTTTTTTGGAGTTTAACAGTTTTGCCGAACATCTTGAAGACAAAATGTTCTTTTTTTTTTCTCTCCAGATCTGCTTTTGTTGAAAGCTGGCAGTGAGAGTGGCAAAATGAGAAGGAGAGAGAGAGAGAGAGCCTGCACTGGAACCGATCTGCTAAATCTGCCAGCCTCATGCTTCACTGCAAACCGGGCCCGGCTGAGGATCTGAAATCTTTCATTCATTCAGTCAGTGACACAGGAAAAACAACAAACAAAAGGAGTTTTTGTCTGGTGTGCCGACTTCTGGCAAAACAACAGTAGGCAGTGCATTATTCGCTTCAGTCACTCGCTCCGCCCGCCCGCCCGTCCGTCCGTCTTGCGATAAGACGGTGAAAGCTTTGTCGCAAGCTGCCGTGGGAGTCTAAGTGTTTTTGGACCACAGAGCAATAAGAACCCAAGACCAATAACAACACCGTTAACGAACAAAAGTCGCTCACCCCTCGTCTGTCTCGTTTATGATGTCACAGATCTCCATGTTCAGAGTCCAGTCCTCACTCTGTAGGCCTCCGTCTGTGGCTCTCTCTGGAGGAAGAACACAAGAGACGTCAACCAGACTTCTAGTGACTTTCTGCATATATGAAAAATGAAAGCATATAAAAATTTTTTAATTTTATAATATAATATTATATTAACCAATATAATAAGTGTTATGGCTCCCCTAAGTTTACAACCTAAAGATCAGCGACACCAGCCAACCAATTAGCCAAATGTGCTTTGACCAACAATCATCAGGTCAAATAAATAAGAAGCTACAGATTGTTTTTATTTACTAAATGCATTAAAGCACTTTTTGCAAGTCTGTTCACACAACACAGCAGGATGTACTTGGGAGGTGGGGGGGAAACAGGGGAGTTTGGGAGCGAACGTGCTGACAGTCAGGAGGATCTTTTGCTTCTCTGTTTAACTCAAAGCAACTACAAGGGAATCAGCAGAACATGTTTCCTTTCAAAGTGTCTTTGATTGAATTTTTTTTTAATTAATCCATAATTTCAGTAGAAACATGATACCTTAAAAGCAAATATGAATTCTAAAAATGTACGGATTAGACTTTTCTTGTCCGGCATTGATTTCCAGAATCTCTGAGGTCGTGCCTATCGATTCAGTAACATTTCTCCTCTTGAGGACTCGAATAGTTCAGGGGGAAAAAAATCTGCTCCAATGTTCTGAGGTAGATGTTGCACCGTTAAATCCAACACCTTATTAAGGAATTACAAAAATATGTTCACTTCTGCGTCATTTCTGCTAATGTCCCTAAATTTGATCAGGTGCTTACTGAAATCATGGATCAATGCATTCTTAACAGGAACAGTGATGGTTTAAATCCACTGACTGGAAGTAATTACTATCTACAAATACACTAATCCCTCAAAGCGCTTTTCACCTAGCTGCATCCACAAACACACACATTAATACACAGATATAGAGATAAGTAGACAACTTGGGGTTAAGTGCCTTTCTCAGTGACACATCCACAACAGCTCATCCTACTGAATCATATGTAATCATAAGGATTTTGGATTTTTCAGCATTTCGCCTGGTGGTTACTGATCCGGGCTGATGAGGGGGAAAAAAAGGGAATAATTCTCATATCTAAATAAAACCGGTAACATCTCAAAGGTACTGATCAGTAAAATCCTGACTGATGCATCTCTAAAAGTCACACTTTGTAACCAATCCAGTGAGCAGTTAATAGCAAATCAAGCTACAGGAAGTAGTTCAGACCACATAAGATGAGAAGTTGCTGCAAAAGTCTAGTGTTATTTTTTTTATGCATTTAAATTGTTGAACATTGAAGCACAAAGCCCTCATCAATGCGGTCAAGCAGAGCGGTTGCTAATGCCTGGGTTGAAATGTTACGCAAATGTTCACAACAAAACGGTATTCTTTCCGGTCAGGAAGAACGTTAGTTCCTGACCAAAGTCTTGTGTAATTTTGTGCACAACTCATGAACCAACAAGTACATTTGAAGAAAACACTGTCATTTAAAAACAGCTACATAGAGTGATAGAATTACATTTAGCAGAAAATAATGAAAACAAGCTGATGGAGTCTGTTTGTTTGCCAGCTCCGTTACAGATCGGCAAAACACAGACATTACAATGAACGAGGCATCGAAATAAAAAACAAAAAATAAAAAAATCACATTAGTTATATTGCTCTGAGGTTCCTCTTTTAGAGGCCATGTGTAAACATCATCTGTTATCCGTCCTTACTGCTGGAAATGTCCTCCTTTTGTCCTGATTAACTTTCACACACTGCACACCGGCTTTAAATACTTTAAAGCGCCTGCCTTTGAAGTGAAAAGTCAACACACACACACACACACACACACACACACACTCACTCTTCTCTTTTAAAAACCTTTTGGATAGAGGTAGGGGATGATGAGGAGAACAATGTGATGAGCTGAAACTCAGGGTGGTGGTGTTTTTTTCTGTTCAGAATCTTAGCAAGCTGCCTGACATATTACTAGTCACTATTTATTGTAATTAGTTAGGCTATGATTTATTCCAATTAGAAATGAGCTTTGTCTTTGTTTCGTTTTTTTTAAAGCTGGCTTGCATTCGGTGTCGTCTCCCAGCCTCTCTCTCTCTCTCTCCTTTTTTTTAATTTTTTTATTGGCCGACAGCAACACGCATGTGAAGTTGAGTCAGCGATCGCATCTGCAAAAAAAGATGGAGTCATGTAGAAAAAATTAACCAAAGCTCTTAGAACGCTGCGTCCAACTTCTGCGTCTTACGAGCGTCTAGAAGTAGAGTTTGGAGGAATTAACCACAACACTCTTCCTTTAAGCTCCTCTAACGGATTGAGGAGTCGGGGCGGGACAGAGCACGAGTGGCCGAGACGGAACGAAGAGGAAGAACAAACAAGAGAGAAGAGTCGCAATGGTGTTAAACAAGGGCAGCTTTGGTAAATGAAATAAAGCACATTGGTTTAGTGTCAAAACCCTCCCAGCCCCCACAGGTCTTAGTAACTGAGAGCAAAACTGAAGCCAGCTGATCACGTGTCTCTCGACGGTGACGAGCTGTACCACGTACTCGCCAACAAAGCTGCAAAGTTCCTCTGCAGCCCATCTCTCCTTACAACTGCTTGCCTTGTCCACGTTTTGTTCAAATGTTTCATCTTTGCTGTCCTAGCCAGCAATACCAGTTGTTCAGCAAATCCCACAAAACATAAAAAAATAAGAATAATTAAAAAAAAAAAAAAAAAAGACCCGACATGCATCTGTCCTCTTGTACCATCTTTGGGCTAAATGATCGGTTGTCTGTCCCCTGCAGAGCCGCACAGGGTGCAGCAACCCATCTGCCGTCTGTCTGGGGATGCAGACAGCTCTGTGAAATGGTGAAACTCAAGATGTGCAACACCATGTGAACAACTGCACGAAGCAGAGGGACGACGGCAACTGTAAAGCACAAAATAATGATCGTCCTTTTTTATTTACGTTCATTAAATTACCAAACAATGAGTAAAAAAAAAAAGTTATTATGAAACTTTTTAAGATGTTTTCTAAGGTTAATTCTTTTTGCTGATAATAGCACCACAAATAACCAATAACCCAAAGCTAGTTTAAAAAAAAAAAAAAATGTTCTCAAATTTCTCAGTTCTATAAATCTCCAGATTTGTCTGACTGTTTTAGAAATTAGAATGTTGGACATGTAACATAGTTCCACAACATATTTATTAATATATATATATATATATATATATATATATATATATATATATATATAGGAGTGGCAATGCTTTGTCCTTCTTCCAGAAATGTAGCAGATTTGATTAAATTAAAAAATGCCTGCTTTAACGACTGTTGTTATGCTGGAATGACCATAAATCTGGCCTAGAGAATCTATGGAGTGTTGCCAACAGGATGTCGCAAAACATATAATCCAACAATGCAGACCAGCCAAAGCTTAAACAACCTGAGCTTTCTTGACACTACTGTGGAAATAGGTCAGATTTAATGATCATGGGTCCTCGTCATGAAATCTGAGTGATCTTTCTAGCAAAATATATTTTGTGATGCAGCAAAGTATTGACGAAAAGCGCTAAATATGGCATACGTCTCAAAATTTTATGTATAAAACGATTTTGTGGTTTTTTTTGTGTGTGTGTGTGCAAGTCGATGACACAAGATCCAAATGCGATGTATTATATTTATGGTAAAAATCAATGCAAGAGGAGCGCTGATCAAGTGCTGTGTGCATATGCAGCGGAGTACATTTGATTAGATTTAAAAATTCTAATTGAAGAATACATTACTGATACAAAAGGAAAATTAAACGTTGTCGTAACTTATACTATCCCAGGCTCTTTAAAGAGTTATTGTAGATACTGATGGCTGTGGGCAGGAAGGATCTCCTGTAGCAGTCTGTATTACAGCAGTTGTGACGAAGCCTCCAACTGAAGACACCTCTGTGAAGAGGATGCTCAGGGTTGTTGTCTGTAATTTTATTAATTTTAGGAAGAATCTTTCTAATCTCCAGTGGTTCTTCATCAGGTTGTTCAGACCTGCAAGTCCCTGACTTTGATGATGATGATGATGATGGCAGAAGAGAATACACTCTCCACAAACAGACCGATAGAAGATATGGAGCATCTCAATGCAAACACTGACGGACCTAAGCTTCCTCAAGATTACAGTCGGCTCTGTCCCTTTTTATAGATGGCTTTACTGTTGCGCATTTATATTCCTCAACCACTTCCACTTCTTCTCCCGTGATGGAAATAGCATTTGTCTTATGCAAGTTTCTTTTGAAATCTATAATTATCTCCTTTGTTTTGTTTACTCAGCTTTTCGTCCATCTATGACACACCTGACGTTTCCAGGTCATCTGAGTATTTCTGCAGGTGACAGGAGTCTGATTTGTGCTTTAAGAACTGGACAAATCGTTTAATATTTGTTTGGTGTACTATTGTTATTTTTAAAGAAACTTAATGTAGGGTTTTGATTTGTTATAAGCTACATTCATCACTCCTGCCAGAAATAAATACTTGAAATATAATCTGCGTGTAGAAAAATAACTCACATTAGTTCCACCATTGTAATCACATTACTGAAATAAATAAGCGAATATAATTATTTGCACCTGTTTCATCTTCCTACATGTTTTCTTTTATGATCAATCAAAACAATTAACTGGCCTAGAACCTGTGTGATTTAAAACTGCACAAACATGGGGTGTGGTACACCAAACTGCTTCCTTCTCTGCTTCAGCTCTGCAATAAGTAACACATTATTAGACGGTCTGGATGTTTTGCGTTAAAAGCGACAGTGACCAAACACTGTGGTCAATCTCGGCAAGCCATCTAAACAGTCAAATATCATCACTTGTCACGAAATCTCAGTGATTTATCTTCCTTAGAACCTGCAAGTCTCTGCTCTCACAGATAAAGGGGGATTTACCAGAACGAGAAAAGAGAGTAAAGAGAAGTTACTCAGATTTTCTGGCTAACGTTAGCAGAGAGCTCATTCCGAGGGGATGACGTTGGCTAGGAAGATGCCAGCAAAGCTCGCTCTATTCTCCCAACGTAAGAGTGAATTCTAAATATCTCGGTGTATCAACAAGACAACACATCTCTAATAAACACCTTCGCAGCTTCACCTACCTATACACTGGCCCACAGGCGTGCTGTAAGGATTTCCAAGTAGAAACTCCATTTTGACAACAAACGATCCGCTTTGGAAATGACGGAGGCTGAGGCCCAGAGGCTGCTGCACGGGTAAGCCCCGCCCACTCCTGAATCCTATTGGATGAACTGACATAAGCCCTGAATTTGATTGGCTGAAATGGTGTCCATTGTAAATATATTGGGGGTGGGAGGGGGAAATCTACGTAGTCCCGAATTTCTCAAAAGTATCTAACGAATCAAACAATACGCAAGATAAGCTTCAGCATAAGAGATATTTAAGAGTTTTCATTATATTTTAATATATTAAAATAAAATAAGTTTGCATTTTAACGGCTCGTGAATGCATTTGAACGCATCTGAAAATCAACCTGTTGATTGAGGAAAGACCGTTACACGCCAGCCCTTTTTTTTTTTTTTTTTTAGAGATTTAACATAAAGGTACACAGTCAACTTTACTGTTGAGTTTTATTTTGCTTTTTTTTTTATTTATTTCATCACATTAAAATAATTATTTGTTCGATGAATTTACTTTTGGCGTTAAACTGTTGCTAAGTAACAGGGTATAAACAAACGAAACAACGGGACACAAATGTTTTGGCTGTTTTTGTAGACTGTACATTGATACGAAGAGTTCGTTTATTTTTCGCTTTCATTGGTAAGTAGGAACGTTACACATTTGGGTAGTTAAAATTAGGGTTATAGTAAACGTAAGATTTTTCAACTGGTCCAAAGTTTTAGTTTAGAACAATCTCTGACTTACCTTGTTGCCTTCAACAGAGTGAAAACTGCTAAAACATGGATTCTGAAGCTAGCTGGACGGATGATGAGTATTCCTTGCAGGAGATGTTACTCGGGCAACACACTTCAAAAGAAAAATACGCTCTGCACAATTACAATCTTGGCTGTCTCGATCACAGAGAACACATCCGTTTACACCTGGAATTCAAAAGTATAAAGGATAAAACAAACACACGAAAAACTACCTTTTCAAACGTTTTCGGTCTAATTTTTTTTTTTTTTTGTGAACTGATTCAGATTGTTGTTGTTTCCAGACATGGTTAAAATGGATTTCATACATGATTTTACATCTCTGACAAGGTTGGATCTTAATAACAATGTCATACAGAAGATCTGGGGCCTGGACCGTCTGACTAATCTGACCTGGCTTAGTAAGAGACAATTTTTTCATTTATGTTTAGTCTGTTATAATGGTGTGTTGGATAAACAGCAACAACAAAACAAAAATTTAGGCCTTTTAAAAGTATTCATACCTGTTAAACTTTTTTTTTTTTACATTTGGTCATGTTGCAGTCGTATACATTAATTGTATTTTATGGGGGTTTTATATATCAACACAATTAAGAAACATGATAAAAATGTGAAGGTTGCGAAGCTATAAATGTTTTTCCCCAAATAAAAATCCAAATTTATTTTATGTCGTTTAAGTCAGTACTTTACAGTACATTATTTTTGCTCAGTACAGCTGCTAGTGTTTTGGGCACTTCACTATTATGTTTACTCGTATATTCTTTTTCCTTTCATTTCACAACCATGCACTGCTTTGTGTTAGTCTGTGATAAGCAGTGAAAAAGAAAAACCCAAATAAAATATATTCAAAGTTGCGAGTTTAACTTGTTAAGGTTTATGATGGCTTTCACAAGGCTCTGCGCGCTCACACGTTGTTGATGTTTCTTCCAAATGTGTTTGCAGATCTGTCATTTAACAAGATCGAGAACATTGGGGGCTTGGACTCCCTGCGGAAGCTTGAGTTGCTGAATTTGGCCTTCAACAACATCTCTGTCATAAAGAACATGGATACACTTGAGAACCTTACTCACTTCTTCATTTCAAAAAACCAAATCGAAGACAAGGAATGTGTAAGATTATTTTCTTTATCCAAACGAATACTGTGTAAGATTGCGGAATGCTTGCACTGCACGACTTTGTGTACATCTTGTTTATTCATCTTCATCTTATTTAATTAAAGGTGCACTACCTCATGAGATTTAAAAAGCTGTTCAAACTCTCCATCGGTGGAAATCCCTTCACTGAGAAGGACGATCAGTCGCTTTATGTTGCTGCCTTTATTCCAAATGTGATCCTCTTAGACAACATTTTAATTACCCCACAGATGGTAAGTCTATATTCATGCGCATCTTTTTGGATTTGTCTCTTTTCTACATCAGTTTTGCATAGCGTTTCTATTTAAAGCATCAGTTTATCCAGGTGCGTGGTCCCATATTGATGCTTCCCACTGTAAGTGAGACCTTTCTGTCTTGTGCAATTACAGCGAGAGGAGGCTGCCATCAAGTACAAGTTTGAGCTTAAGAAGTTGCTTGAGTCACAGCAAGCTCAGGAAAAAATAGACAAAGTATGATAATAATCATATTTTCAAAGGCAGCCTTTGCAAACTTGCACATTTTATTTCTTGTATTACCTTGTCTGATTTAAGCTCTTTCCTATAACAGGATGCGGTTGTGGACAGTGCTGTGCCAGTTACGTCAGCAAACAAAGTAGAGGCAGCGAGCCCAGACATCCTCCCAGGAGCTCCTCCCGCACAGATATATCCTCTGTTTTCTTTGCTGATGTGTTGTTTCATCGAAACTAACAAAATGCCTCAGATTTCTTAACGTTGCATTTACGTCTCAGAGCAAACTTGCGGAGCTGTGCTCACAAATATTTCCTACAGACTCAGACGAGTACAAACAACTGGAGACAGAGCTGAACTCTTTCTTCGCTGGCCAGATTGAAACTGATGCTCACTACCAGCAGAGGGCGTCACAGATTCTTGCAGACTTCCATGAGCAATACGAAACGGCAAGTAGAGCAGGCAAAGATATCTCTAACTTAATAAAGTTGAACAAATTTACAGCAAATCTTTGTATATATTTGTATATATTGACTTTTTTTATTATTATTATTGTCGTCTAACAAGTTTCAAATGTTCTAGAGGTTAAAAGATATAAGAGCAATAGAAGACCCCGATCTGTGCCGTCTCAAAATCCTGGACTTAAGACATGAAACCGCCAAGTTTTTTAAAAATCTCTTGGCTCTGGAGTTTGAGTTTGTCAAAAATCTGGATGTAAGTCTTCATGAGATTATTTCTGAATTTTTTTCTATCACTTGATAATCTAATACATGTTTTTCTTTTTTTTTTTATGAAATCCTTCCCTTGCATCTGTGCTGTTGTTTCTCTTTATTTTAGGACAACATCATGCTGCTAGACAGCTTCATCTCAGACATGGTGGGTAACTTTTTGTGATAATCTGCAGTGAATACACACTTTTTTTCTTTGTTACTCAAGAGGTGAATTATGCTACGTTTAGAAAATATTGATGTTTAACCAAATCAAAAGTGCAGCAATTATTCTACTCACGTTGAGGACAGTGATTACAAGTTTTTAGACCAGGAGAGTGAGAGGGGCATGGAGGAAACATAGAACCATTTCTATGTTTATTTGGCCACGTAATTTAGATCTGGCCTCATATTTTAGCATTATCCTGATAAAAGACCCAATATTACCAATTTTAGGTTGTCTGGAATTTTTCTATGGCCAGACTACCAACAAGAGTCAGTGCTGGTTCTAGAAGAGTCTGAGGAGCAGCATGTGCAACCTCTTTTGAAAGGGCACCAGATTTTTACTTTTTTTATTTTTTTATTTTTTAGGTATTTCAAGAGTTCATGATGCTCTGCATTCTAACTAGGTTGACCTTTGGAAGAGAAACAGACCCACAGCATGATAGATCTTAGATCTTACTTAACAGTGGGATTCTTATTGCAAATATTTATTCCTTGATTTACATTCAGCTCAGCCTAAAATTGCTTTTTGCAGAAAATATTGATCCTCCTTTCATCTGACTAAAAGCACACAAAGTGTACTGCCCACTTTCCCGCAGCTAAGAAAATGGAGCTGCGTCCTGTGTCTACACAGAGATAGTCACTAAGTACTACTTAGCAGTTTGTGAAACCTCATATCAACCTGAAAAGTAAAGTATAATTAGAATCATTTGCCTCAGTTAGATTTATTTTAAAGGGACCAATTGTACCTCCGGAGACTTTGTTTTTGTACAACTGTTATGGTTGAAAATTCATTTTGAGGTTTTTTTCACTTGTTTACCAGAGATGTCCATGATTGTGGTCCAAAACGTGCTTATTATTGAAATGTAAAAAGAAATTGCTGCTGTGACTGAATATGTCGTTACATGTAGTTGTCTACAGGCAATGATTCACCCGGTCAAGATGAGGCCTCGGAGACCATCAGTGACACAGAAAATCAAATGGATACACAAGTTAATGACTCGAAAGAAGCTCTCATCAAAGAAGTAAATAACTTTGTAGTAAACACACAAGTGTATGTTAAACTGAAAAGACAACTCATCCGCAATCACCATCTTTATGCACTATTGCAGATTCAGGAAGAAGAGGAAAGGAGGAACCGTGTGCGCATCTCAGACATCTACCGATATTATGAGTTTTTGTTGAAACCCGTGGAGGAGATGGAATGAAATTTTTGCTGTATTTCACTGACAGCGTCGACACTATTACAATGTTTAGCAAATAATATGTATACATCTATTTACTTTTCCATGTATTACGTGTAGGCGCAAAGTTCCCCCTGCGCCTACTCTGATCCAACTAAATAAAATTATACCTTTCCACCTGAGTGTAATTTAATTGCAGTAGCAGTCCAGTTCTGTGAAGGTTAGTCAGAGAACATTAGAAAATGAATCACATCATGATTTTGAATTGTTCGTATCAATGCATATTTATGTTAGGAGGACTCAGTCAAAGCCCAGAGCTAAATTCAACTGAGAACCTGCTGCTAGACTTTAAAATTGTATCTGATCAAATCTGACCGAACTTTTTCTATTTTGAAAAGCTGTTGGTGTGTCACAGAAAATTTTTTTAACATTTCACTTGAGCTACATTGAAATGTGCAGTTGTTCCATAAAAAGAAAAAAAATTCAAGATTTACTGTAGATAAATTATTGCTCTTCAAAACAACAAAAAACTACTAATCTCAAATTTTCAATAAAACCTATTTTAGTCCTTTAAAAAAAATTTGACTTTTTTTTATATTTAGCAAAAAAAAATATTTAAAAGAAGTCACAACACAACCTAATAGTTCAAAGCGATTTTCATCTATGTATTCATTTATATCCTCTTTATTCTGACACGCTCTCTTCTTCTCTGTAAGGAGATTTAAAATGTTTATAGATTAATTTTTTGTAACTACTGTGAATCAAAAGGCGTCTAAAATACAATTCCCAGAATGCGTATTAGCACATCATCCAATAAGAGTCGTCCTGCAACCAGACGTTTGGTTTTTAGCCAATAAAATACAAGAAAGCTGAGCGATTATAGGAGGACTCGCAACATTTATTCTGTCCGGCAGTCTAATGAAAGCTGATACTTTTGAGCAACCTCACTGTTATTTTTACGGTGATAAAACTTCTGTCGGTCCCGTTTTTTGTCTCCGGTTGTGGCGTGCTCCTTGTTGACGTTCATGACGGTTGCTGACGGTGTTTCCTTAGCGCTCGTCATGCCTGTCCGAGCAGAGTGCCACTGTCTAGCCGGCGCGGCCTGTCCATCCTCGGCCTGTCTTGTTCCCCCTGCGCCTATCAACACCCAGCAGCCCGGGGTGGCCACCTCTCTGCTCTACAGCGGCGCTCAGTATCGGGGTTATCAGAGGAGCAAAGGGAACTCGTATGATGTCGAAGTTGTTCTGCAGGTACTTTGATAAATATATTTATATATGCATTTATGTTTTTATCCTAAATTTATCTTGATTAATGTTTTTCATTTCTTTAATTCTTGTATTTTGAATGTTGACTAAAAATAAATGTTTGACTCCTGTCTAAAAAGTTTACGTTCTGTGCACCAGACTATCCAAAAATGTTTGTAATATTCTACCTGCAGGTGCTTATTGAATAGGAAAGAGAGCATATTTTCAAATGTATAACTTAATGTGTACTAGATTCTGTGTTTAAAAGGGTAAGTCTTTGTTTCAGTACCTCATGCTGTCATTTTTGCATCATGCATTCGCACTTTTTATGTCAACCCCTTGAGACATCATGTACCATAATCTGTTTGCGTTGGACAGCATGTGACGATGGACGACTCATATTTGTGTGGATACCTGAAGATCAAAGGCCTGACTGAGGTAAGCTATGCAAACTAGGTCAGGTGTAGTAAGACTGACCTTTATGCGCCCAAGGGCTGAACACCAACTGGTTCATGCTTGCTACAGACAGGCTGAATCTAGAGAAGGTGAGTTTGGTCAAAGTGAGATATTTTCTGCCCGATACGTGTTAAGTTATGCAACATGTAGATCCACCTTTGCTCAAAGTGCTCTCTGTCTGTGAGAGGATCTGCAATTTGGAACTCACTTCCTCTCAATCTAAAGTCCATAACCAGTTTTAGTATGTTAAAAAAAAAAACAACAACCTCTGGTTATGTCAAAAACAGAACTGTGTCCATACTTAATGTTTCATGTCTCACAGTTTTATATGCATGACTGTGTATATGTTGTCAACACTATGTTCTGCTAAATGATTACTACTTCAGTTTTTACTAGTTTTAAGTTGTACTGTTTAACAGCCCATTTAGGGACAAGTGCTGCGAATTAGCTGTTGCTATAAGCACTATGACGCAAACATGGGTATGTTTTTTCTGTTCAGTTAGTCTATGTCGATGTGTGTCTATAAAATAAACTTAAATAAAAGGTTCACAGGTCAGAAAGTAAGGTTGGTGTGTGGAAGACGAGCAGTTATGTTAATGAATAATGGTAAAATTTGAATGTTTGTTATATGAAAACAAATATTTCTCCTTTCTGAAGAAGATCATTTTTCATTCACTTGAAGGCTGGAAGGTTCAGTGTATCGTCTTCATGATGGCATATTGGTAATAAACATTGTCCCAGAGATGAATATATTTCAGTGCAAAATGTGCACATAAACTTTAGAACGAAAGCAAAAGACCTTGTAAAGATATTCACTGATATTATTTCTTATTCTACTGCACAGTCATTAATCCGTTCCTTTCGGTCTGTGATTTTTCAGACTAGATATGTAAAGCTTGACCTCTGTTCAACTATCTACCTTAAATTTATTGGGGTTTATTATTATTATTATTATTATTATTATTATTGTTGTTATCATTGTTGTTGTTATTTATACTTTAAGTTTGAATAAAAAGATGCAAATATGATTTTAGAAGGGTCTGGATTATTAACCTGAAAAATATGTGTTTGAACCCTGCAGTTTATTAGCAATATGAACCTTTATTTTTTCTTGTCTCTTATATTTTGTAGGAGTTCCCCACTCTCACAACATTCTTTGTTGGTGAAATAATCAGCCGCAGGCGGCCATTTTTAACCCGGAAGTGGGATGCAGACGAGGATGTGGACAGAAAGCACTGGGTATGTCTGTCCAGGTTTATTTTTGTTTTCAGCATCACCTCTCATGGTCTTACTAATGAAATGTTGGTCCACAGTTTCATTCTTTTGAACCAAAATTGTACTTCACCTAAAGATAATTAGAATTGTTTTGTGCCTTTTATTGTACTCGTATTTGGCGTGTTTTACCTGAATTTTGGAGTCTCGTTTACGTTTCAGATGATACATTTTTAAAGAGTATAGGTTTAAAAAATGCATTTGAACCTGTTATTGATCCCCATATTTCCTGTTCTCTTAAAAGGGGAAGTTTCAGGCTTTTTACAAGCATGGCAAAACCTTTAACTCGGACAACTTCGACTACAAGGCGTTGGAAAACAGTGATTACATCTTTATGAGGTGGAAGGTGAGCAGATTTTATGTCACCGTTTCTCTAAATTGTTCGAACTATGCTTCGGCTTCATCTGCTGTTGGTCTTCCAGGAGCAGTTTCTTGTTCCAGACCACACGATCAAAGACATCAGCGGCGCCTCCTTCGCTGGCTTCTACTACATCTGCTTCCAGAAGTCCACAGCCACCATTGAGGGCTACTATTACCACAGGAGCTCAGAGTGGTAATGAAAGTGAAATTCCCTCAAAAAAAAAAGTATTATTTTCTTTTTTCTTTTTTTTGGGATAAAGTTATAAATGTGAGTTTTTATATTTCATTTCTACAGGTACCAATCACTAAGTCTGAATCATGTTCAGGAGCATAGTATGCCTATTTATGAATTTCGGTGATATGACGAAACTCTTTGTCAAGAGACGGCTAGTGCCGCCCTGGAGCTAACTGGAACATGACGCCACAACACCGATGGATAACCAGTTTTCCTCTCTGGGAGGAAGCTAACAAGTGGCCAGGTGCTCGTTTCCTGATTTGCAAATAGGAAAGCACGGATTGAAGAAGAGCTGGACAAAAGATCGATGAGGCACGAACAGTCCAGACTGAGCGGCTGACGAGAAAAAAAAAAAAAAGTCAATTTGTTTCTTGTTTGGCTTTTTTTACTATTGTTATTATTCTTTGCCATCAAGTGTTTTTTTTTTTTTTGTTTGTTTTTTTTTGCGCTCTGTGTTATTGAACATCACGATAGATCACAATAGATTCTTGATTATGGAGACACGTTGCACTTTTAGTGGAGGTTTGCAAAGGAAAAGGCTAATTTTGTTCAGCAATGAAAATCTTATATTTAACAGAAAATATGTTTAATTACCCATAGGGATTTATTTGGTGGTTATAACAGAGAGGGTTTATTTTATGCAAGATTTTGATAAGAGAATGTTTAGTTGAAGTGAAACAGCTGAACGGGTACCAGCTGGATCAGAACGGGTCGGCGATAATCGTGGTTTCTTCCCACGGTTTTCTATGCAAGCCAAAGAACTTGAGTGGAAAGGTTTTTCCCTTGCCTCTTAAATGTTTTAATTTAATATAATTCAGACTGCTGCTTTATTTTACACTACAAGGTGTTAATGATTTGTCAAGTAAATGAAATATTTCTGAAATCCCAGCGTTTTCTAGGTTTTGGAGGTAACGACAAGAAAACGTTTGGTGACTTCTGAGAGTTTTAGAGTTTATTTAAAAAAAACAACAACAAAAAAACCGGTGAAAGTAGTAAGGAAGTGACAAGTAGGAACAAAAACCTAATATCTTATTTTTTCAAAATTCTGTTGCCTTACACTTGTAAAGCTTTTCTCTTTAAAGATACAGTTTTCCTGGATAATTTAGTGCAAATGTTTGGAAAATATCTCTTCATCGTCTTGTTGGGATCCTGTAAGTTTTCCTGAACCGGGATGATGTAAAAGCCAAATTGCGTTTGGCCTTGGTAGCTTACAATTTTACAGCTGGGTTAAAGCAAGTTAAAATTTCTTTCAAAGCAGTGCAATGAAATGCATAAACGCAATCAGAAAATGTTACTTTTTTCTTATTAAATTAATTTTATTTATTATTAACCATGTAAAAAAAAACACACTTGTGCAATGAAATCAAGCAAAATGTTTAAGAGAGTATCTCAAAGAGAGTGTTTCTAATTTGACGAAAATGTTGAGCTTTGTGAACGTTGAAGTTGAATAAACTATTTTATACAGATGTTGGCCCTTCTGTTTCCTAAGATAAAAATAGACCCATTACTTCTTGTAGGGAGCCCCAGGTTATTATCTTCTGAATATTTTCTGGAATAAAGCCAATGGATGAATCCTAAAAAAATAATTGCAATATGTAAAGAGTAACAGCAATACTCCTTTTCACTGATGGCATCATCTAAATGGTTCTTATAATCATGCCATCCATGTTCTTCCATGCCATCTCCTTAAAATCCATGAACCTTTACATAAAACCTGCTTTTTATATAATGTAACCATTATATATTCTGGATGTTTTCATAAAATTCAGTTTTACTCTCAGGTGCTGAAATTCTGCCGCTAGATGGCAGCAGCCACAAAGTCAATCAAGAAACAACCAAAGTTTACGTTATTCACGAATCGGAAAGTGTTGGGTGTGAACTTGGCGCAAATAGTTTCGCGCTAGGAATACCTTCATAGTTGGTCTGAAGCTCCTGCTCTAGAACCAGAATGTTGTGGTATCATAATACTCTGAATTCGTTTGACGTATTCATTGGTTTGTAATATTCTAGCTATATGAAATATTTTATTCCTAAATTTTCAGGCTGAATTCCCAACATGAGGCAGCTCTACTTTTTTGGAGGACAGCAGAAGCAGGGACTTAATTTAATCAAATAATATGGAAAGTAATTTGTACATAATAAAACTTAGACTGGATGGCTATTTATCCTTAGTAAATTAAATAATTTGAAAAGTCTATTTTGTATTTACCAAATTATCCTTTGATATTAAAATGTGATGATCACATCACTGCATTCGATATGCTACTTTATTTTAGGATTTGTTTCGAGTGCCAATAAAAGTAAAATGAGATTTATTTTACTGCCTACATATACTGAGGAATATATTTTTATCCAGGCTTCATTTTCTCAGTGATTCATTCTAAAATGCATTTATTTAAAAGGACACAAGAGACATGTGGGACACAACTGGTTATTTTGCATAAGAACTGTGCACAACTATTTTGTGTAGTTTATGTAGCTGCCAAACAGGAAAATAAAACTCTTCATCATCCTAACTGGCATAAAGTAAAATCTATTTTTAGAGAGTTTATCTCATAGGAAATGATTTCAGCCATTCTCTTCCTGTAAGGGCACATGTGGGTGTGGAGAATAATTACTGTGGTTCTGTGTTTATTACTATTTCTATTGTTATATATGTTCTATATTGTTTATTTATTTATTTCTACTATTGGTTTCATCCAACTCAGTTCTAAGAGAAATAAACTGCGTTCTGAGCAAAACTGTAAACAAAAGCCAAATATTTTCTCATACAGTGATGCCTCCAAACCCACTAAGCCAACCTGACTTTTTCTTTACATTTCTCATTGTCAGCTATGCTGGCTTTGGAACACTGCAGGAATTCCCTTTATGCAGACGATCATTGATTGAGACTGCGTGAGCGGTCCAACCACGCCTGTGTGTGGCGGAGGAAATATAAATTCACCTGCACGTCGGCCTCCTGCACATTCCTGAATGAGACTGAGAGGCAGCTAGTGCACACGATCTCCTGTCCAGCCGTCCAGTTGTCATGGGGTCTGAGCGTTTTCCAGTCGGCATCCGTCTAACCGGAGTCCTTCACAAGGAGAAGAACAAAGTAAGGAGCGATGGTGTCTTTGTCTGTAGGAAATAAATGTTGAGGAATTTTCTGCTTTAAGAATATGGCGTATCTTCTTTCAGATGTACATAACATCTGTGCTTTGGTCGGATCAGAATGAAATTGTAGTTTACAGAAGCTTTGAAGATTTCAGAGAAATGCATGTAAGTATTAAAAACTGCACTATTTAGTCCCTGAGCTTGTGCTATACGACTTATTTCACTTCTCTCTCTCTCTCTTATAGAAACAGCTAAAGAAGAAGTTTTCCTCTGGAAGTAAAATGAAAAAATCTGACAGAATCCTCCCTAAATTTCAAAGTGGGTGAGATTAAACTATAAATAATAAATGTCTAGCTGGATACAGTTGGAATTAAATAAGTATATATTTTTGTTGTTCAGGCAACAAAGTGAAGCAGAAGAGCCAAGGCAAGGGGCCTAATAAATCACTGGTGCGCCTCAAGTATTTGCAGAAATACTGCAATGAACTCCTGAGCTGTGATCAACACGTCTCACAGTCTGCTGACCTGGCAAAGTTCTTGCAACCAAATGAGAACGAGCTAAAACCAGAGTTCACCAAAAACAGGTAGGAGTTTCTTCTGCTGCAGTTGGATGCATGCAATGAGACGAGAAGAATAGGAAAACCTTTTTAAAAAAATCAAGTAAAGGAAAATATTGCTACTTCTATTAATTCGTTATCAGGGCTTAATTACAACAGAAATGTGTCATTTTCACATGGTTTGTGCATCCTGTCTCAGTTCTTGCTATGAGACACCATGTCAATGTCCATAAATCCGTCTCATATTAAATCAAGTCATGTGAACTTTTCGCATTGTGAGGTCACTGTCACACATTTAAAGAAGAAACAAAAGCCTTTTTTGTTTGTTAAAATTGCAACTAAATTTTCATTGTTTTGAAGATTTTTGAACTTCCCCCAGTTATCAAAATGAGATCACTCCTACCAGAGATCTTTCATATTTACTCATAGGCATTTAGACAAAAAAGATCATTTTGGTGCCATCATAAAAACAATGTCATTTCAAAGGTTCAGGAAAAGCGCTTGTGGCTGGATCTGATAAGTACAGACGGGATATCTTGATTTGATTTGAAGGGAAGATAACACGGTCGAAAAATTTCACCTTCAGTGTTTTTGTGTGTACTACAGCACATGACAAGGAGAGTTACTGTAATTAGATCTGATTAGAGAAGTTCACAAGTACGCGTTGCGTAATTCCCATTTCCAGATGAAAAGGCAACTTAAAAGCTTTGCTTTCTGATTGCGCAACAAACTCGACGTCTGCAGAAGAAAAATACAAAAATAGCTTTGTGTATTCACCTTAGCATCATCATCATGCCCTCCGAGGACGAGATCCGGAGCTACGGGAGACAGGACAGCAGCGGCAATGTGACCCAGCCGTTCGTCACAGAGACCTACAGATGTATAGCCCCATACGAGACCAAAGACACCAAAAACAAACCTTTCAAAGTAGCTGTGAATGAGACGCTTGACGTTCTCATCAAAGACAAAGGAGGTGAGCAAAGCACAACTCGAGCAATGCTTAGAACATTCCCAATCCAATCGGGGGATCCCGTGAATGCGTGTGCAGGGTGGTGGCTCGTAGAGAACGAGGAGAAGAGGATGGCCTGGTTTCCTGCACCCTACCTGGAGAACTTAGACGACGAGGAGGACGAAGAGGAAGTGCACGGTACACCATCGAGAGGTACACGCACAGAAACCAACATCCTGACAACATTAGTTGATGAGTTGGAGGTGATTATTCCTAAAGCTCTTTATGCCTCCCACAGGGATGCTTTACACAGTTGTCAGGAGCTACAATTCCAAAATAGAGGATGAAGTAAGCGTGAACATCGGTGAAGTGGTGGAGGTCATGCAGAACCCGGATAATGGCTGGTGGCTCATAAGGTAACATTGAATCCTTCTACTGTTATATGGGATGTATAATGTTTGTGATTGCTCTATGGGAGCATTTGAAGTTTGTCAGAGTACATCAGTGTACATAAAGCATTGGGAAGATCAACAAACACACCTCACAGGTCAGGGATAAACTTGTATCAGGTTTAAAGAATGTTTAGGTTATGAAACAATATCCAAAGCTTCGGACATCTCAAACAGTTTTAGTTTTGGGCCTGTAAGCAAAACGCTGCGTATCACTTTAAAAAAAACCCCCCCGTTGTGCAACATGTTGGCGGCTGTCTCGTCGTGTGTGGACGCTTTGCATCAGAGAGGACAGGAAAATTGCTCAAGAGTTGATGAAAAGAAGGAATGAGATGAATTCATAGCAATCCAGGGATAAATCCTGTGCAACCTGGGCAACAGACAGCCTTAAAATGAAATGGTCAATGCATAATTGTGTGACAGTAAGGCCCAGTCAAAGTCCAGAGCTAAAAGATGTGCAGTTGTAATTGGCCGGAAAGGTGGTTCCACAAAATATTGACCTCTGAAGGCAATTTGGGTGCACTAGTTTTTATTCAGGGGCATCAGACAAATGGGGGTTTTATGTATATGCACGCTAGCTTTAAACGTTTTGTATAAACTTGCTTGTAGTATGTTTTGTTTTTCTGACTGGTGTTAGCTCAGTTCTGTTATAGTTACATCTGTATGTCCTCTTTTATCTTCTCTGACTTTTGACAGACACAAAGGAAAAGTGGGCTACGTCCCGTCTCTGAACCTGCAGCCCTACATATACCCTCGGGTTCAGATGTTGTCTCAGTATAATGTCCAAAACTCCTCTTCTCTCCAGCCCGCCTCCTCCATCTTACACCACTGGCATTCCTATGGCGACCTGCCCCAGCATCCTAACTCCAGGCCCATCATCCCAACAGAAAGCATCCACAGGTCTCAGTCTCTGAACCGGTTGTCCGAGGAGCCTTACGCTCAGCCTGCAGTGAGCCTCCCTGCTCCAGCAAACAGCCACCTCACCTCCCCAACATCTCCAGTGCAATCCCCTCTTCCGGTCATCCTGGTGGAGAGTGACGAAGAGCAGGAGGAGAGCGGACGGATCCTCAGAGCAGAGTCGGTGGACAGCTTTGAAAGCGACAGCTTCAGCGACGACGACACCCTCTCCATGTCCGCCGGCTCATCCCTCAACCTGAGCTACGGCGCCAACGACCAACAGCTGCGATTCTGCCGCACGCCACAGCCCACGGCGTCCAACTGCCTCAGCCCAACGAGCCACCCTGAGGGAACTCTGCTGCCCAGCGTCTCCGACCCCAACCTCTACAAGGGGCCCCAGCCCCCCAAGGTTCCCCCGAGACCTCGGGCCCAGGAGATTCTCACCCGCTGTTCCTCAGTCACCCGTAAGAACGCGACTAAAAGCAACCTGTCACCGACTTCGACTGAGGTGACGGGTCGATGAAAGTTAAAGCTCTTCTGCATTAACGGTGCACACTGGTTTCTTGACGGCCTTGGAACATAAAACAAAAAAACCAAACAGATATATCCTTCCACTTATGTATCAATCAATACTTTGATTAATATATATAAAATAAACAAGTAACCAACAACTGGATGTATTTCGTCTGAATGACTAGGTGCTTTAAGTTTTGTATCAACTCTCATACCGGATAATCCCCCCCCTATCTGATATCTGTACGCATTGCATTCAGTTAACTGTAGAGATGAAAATGAATAAAATGATCTTGTGGGTTTAATACTGAATGCTTTTGTGTCATACCTGAAAGAAAATGTACAAAACATGGAGTCTTCACATGTGAAAACATCACAGTGAGAAGAGTCTCCTTTTTATACTTTATTTCTCTACCAGATTTGAACATGCAGACTCATTTTTGTCCATTGTTCTTTGTGAAGTAGGCTGGATTAACTTAAAGAGGTTCTGTAAACATCAGTTTTCAATCTCTTTTAATTAAGGTCTGGACTTTGACTGGACCATATTAACCCTTCGACTGTATGTTTTTAGTTGTGTTCTGGATATAAGGTGAACCTCCGCCTCAGTTGCCAAGGACAGTAATCCCAGAACCCGATGCCGCTCTGAAATACGCAACACTAATGTTACAAAATGTGACAAACGTTAGAGGGGTATGAAAACTTATGCAAAGTACTTTGGTTGCACAGATAGAGCTTGAGGAGTCTGGACTTTGTTTCCCAGAGATGAATTTAGACTTAAATAGGAATTTCTGCTTCTTCCCCAAAGCTTCCTTCAGACATTTCTGACGGGTAAAACTGACATCCTTTGAAATGCTGGAGGCTTCAAAAAACGAACAGCAACAACATCCTGTTAGACAACAACTCTTTAGTTTTTATCTAGCTAAAAAAAACAGTTGGTTGTCTGCAGGATTTGTTTTTGTGGTTTCTTCATTGGTTGATCACAATTTATTCTCTAAATTCTCATAATTTTACTTCAAGGCAGAAAACTGCTTTTTGGTTGTTTTTTTTAATTGAAGCCTGACTAATGTTAGATTTTGCAAAAAAACAACAACAAAAAAAAAAACAAGTCTCCTGCTTAACAATCAGACAAATAATGGGTAAAAAAAAAAGTCAATTATCAGTTCAAAACCTTTACAAAATAGGCACATAAAAGAGATTTATTTATAAACATATGAGCCACTACATTAGAAATATGTTTGACTGTTCCTTTGACTGTTACATAAGGAAACTGCATGTTTACAATCCTGTAAACAGGCGCTATGCACTGTTGCATACCTTCTAATTACAATAGGCTTTAAAAAAATCACCCTGGCACACGGCCTAGACGCTTATGCAACCAGTTCTTCCTCTCCAAGGCCTCCTTGATGTTACATGAAATGAAATCAGGATGATTTGGTCGTTTTGTTTCCCGTCTAAAACCTGCATAGAGGAACTGATTAGGAGCTTAGGCAGCACAGAAATAGTTGCAGTGAAACCTGTTATCTGCTTCGCATCAATTCCCCCTTTGTTTCCCTGACAGCCGCAGTCAGTCAGTCAGTTAATGATCTGCAGAGTTAAACCTCGGGAGGTTTCCTTCTAGAGGCGAACTCATTGATCCTGTTAACTTAAAGCTTGGAGTCGGGGAGCGGATGAAATCGGGAGATTTCGCATCACTTGCACTACATGATCGTCCTCCTCTTCCTCCTCTGAGCTCTCCTCGCTCTCTGACTGGCGGCGCCCGTTGGTTTCCCCCTTTTTCTCCCGTGCGTCGTTAGCGGAGGCTTTCTTCGAGGCGCTGATTTCTTCGGCCTCCTCTTCATCTTTCACCTCAGAACCGGACTCTTCTTCTTGCTCTCTATCCCCGTCGTCGCCTCGGTCTTCCCTCTCATCGGTGCCGCCTCTTGCGTTTTCTTTATCGAGGAAAAACGAGGGCTGCGTCTGCGCGAGAGGAGTGGTGTCCATGTCTTCGTCCTGCTCCATACTAGACGAGATGGAATAAAATTGATTAAAGATCTAGTTTGCAGAATCACTTGCAGTATTTCCTGCCAGCAAGTTCAGACTGGGAAACCTTCGGCTAGGTATTTATGGCTTTGCAAAAATGCAGCTCAGCTAGGAATCCTTGGTCCCCGTGAAGAGGAAACACTGGCACAGAGTCTGTGTCGTAATTCATGTAGGAGGCAAGCTGCACGTACGCATCAGTAAGTAAAGTTTTGCAAAGCTCTACATAAGCCAGCAGTCAGTACAGAAGGATTTCAAACAGAGGAGTGAAACAGCTCACCCAGATGAGGCTCCAGCTACTCGCATTTTCTGCCACATGTAGTTGAGAAACATGGACGCCTGCTGCAGACGGCCGATCCTCTCCATGTGTCTCTCTGTGGGAAGAAGAAGATGAATAAACAACCTGTTTAGTAGATATAATACACATAAGGACCAAATTAAGGTGTCAATATGCCTAGTACCTGATTAAAATACAACAAAATACTTTCAACTACGCTAAAGGCTGTTTTATTATTATGATTTCAACAGGAAGGAGAATGAATAACTAGGGTCAAGCTTTCCACTAATAAAGTTCATGCTGCCCTTTGTCTGGTTTTCTACCTGCACACCTGCCATTAAATTTAAATTTCCAGATCTTTCCTTGATTGTCTCTGTTGGGCTATTGGGAGCTAAAATGCTGCATACCTAAACTTTATGTTTTTATGTTCATTAAACAGATCAAAATTAAGAACTCAGACAATTTTCACCTCTAAGAAAAACCCAATCTGTGCATTTTTAACTGCTTTCTGTTCCTACATATTTAAACACACTAAATACCAGGCTGCTTGCAGTGCCAGTGTTTCACTCTAGATGTAACACTTTGTATCCATTTTGCCGCCTGCTGACCTGTGTACGGGATGAGGCCCTCCAGGTGCGTCCGGGCCCCCTGGAACTGCAGCAGCTCCTCGGGCGGCAGGTGGGTCAGCAGCACCTGGAGGACCGCCTGGGCGTCCAGGCAGTTCCTGGCGTTGGTGTTCCACACGACACAGTAGCGCAGGAGCGACTCTGAGTGGGGCAGCAACCAGAAACATTAGATGGTGGGAAAAAAAAAAAACGTTTTAGGTGTCTGTTTATTATTAGAAAATGAGCATATTTAAGACATTAATTGATTCCAAATAAATCAAGCTGCACTTATGGTCTTGTTTCCGAACCTTCCAACAATCCAACACAGATTTGTTTGTTTGTTCGTTACCTTTTTGATCTGCTCGCAGCCGCAGCAGCGTCGACTCCAACAGATCGCTGCCGTCCTCCGCCTGACGAATAGCTAAAAGCAACACAGCAAGACTTCAATTAGCAGCCGGGTTTAAAACAAACTGAATATTTTGCACACAGAAAACGCACTGGCTTCTTATTTTATCAGATGAATATACACATGATTTTTTTTTTTTTTAAAGCCGTTCATAGAAGGATAGTCTGTGGAGATTTCTGCAGCAGGTTTGCCTCCTGTCAACATTCAGAAAACTGAACAATAAGTCATAAACACGTTTCTTCACTTCCTGTTCAAATTCTCGGGTACTTTTGCAAAATAACAGCCATTGTTAGGAAAGAGTTTATCCCCTTTATGCTTCAATGAACGAGTGAGTCAGCGGGAAGCCATTCATGACAGACGGAAAATAAACGCAGCGCAGTGCAAATACAACAAAGCCTGTTTATGTGTTTACTTAGCGTAGGAGGAAAACAGAATGAAGGTTGAAAAGACAAGTTAAGGTCAACCTGATTACCTTTGATGACAGTGAGCACCGTGTGAGGCTGGTCCAGCGAGATGGCGAGACCCAGGGCCTTCAGGTATTTCTTCTCGTGCAACAGGTTGGACAACTCCTGCTGCCTTTAAACACAATGGGGCGAATAAAAGCCTGAATTTTGGGTTTTGTAAACTTTAACTTAAGCCATAATTATCAACGTGAGCAGAAATAAATAGTTGAAATCAATCAATGTGCCAGATTTTCCCTTTTGAACTGAGTTTCTGAAATAAATCGGTCCTTTGATGATATTTTAATTTAGATTCACGTTGTAAAATATACCATACCACAATCTCCATCACAATATTAATATGTGTATTAGAGTAAAGGCAAAGGACGATTTGGACGCGATATTTTATAAGATTATTTACAAATGTCATTCGTTCAAATTCTGTTTTTCAATAACATTTTTTTGATAGATTTAGGAAACTTTGGGTTAATCATAATTTAAACTATTACAGTATACGACAATAGTATCACAAATAAAGCTTTCCTGCTATCGTGCAGTCCTTCACATCGATGGAAATGTGAATGTCTGCAGTTTTGGTTAAAGTAAGAAGAGGCGGACGAAAACCAAATTAAAGCAGCTTGATCTGTGACACAAAATAAAAACAAGTTGTTGTCCAAGTCTTACTTCAGTATCTGCTCCTCTTGTTTGGCTTGTTCCTCTGCCAGCTCCACTTTAGTCACATCCTAATGATGCAAATAATGACACCAGCATGAAAATCAGTAGTTTTATAGAGAGTAAGAACTATATGGTATATTAGTGAACCTAATCCACTCTGACCTGCTTTTTTGACCATCAGTGACCTCTGAACTCACCAGCCACACTGTGATGTTTGAGTCTGCTGAGCCGGTGACCATCTTGTCGTCCTTACGGCTGCCGTGGAGACCCCACACTTTGTCCTGGTGGGCGTCCAATGTCTTCACGCACTCATTGGTCTTTATGGTCCACAGCTTCACTAAACCGTCTGAGCCGCTGAGGGGAGAAAAATTCAATCAAGAAAGGTTTTTATGCAGCTGTGTGTGTTGAAGACAAGATAAAAAAGTATCTTTAAAAAAAGCTTTAGCGAAAATCTCACTGCTTAGTATGCATACTTAAATATCAATTCTGCTTTTTGTCATGTTATTGGGGCTGAATACAAATGCAAGCCACACTTTTCAGATGTTTAAAAACCAGATTTCTTCCGTTAGATATTATACACTACATTTTGTTCTGATCCGTCACATAAAATCCCAATAAAGTTGGAGAGAAATGTGAAAAAGTTCAAGAAGTATTAAATATTTCTGCAAAATTCTGTGTTGCTGGCCTTTATTTATTTATTTTTTTACACAATCATTCTTTACGGATACCACAATGCAGTCAGACGCCGATCTCGTAAAAGGACTCAATAATAATTGTGAACAGAGGGAAGTCGATACCTGGTCAGCAGCTGGGTGCCACGGCTCACAAAGATCACTTTCAGGACCGACGCGTCATGGCCCTCAAATGTCTTAACAGGAAGTAATTTGAAGAGCAGTTCTCAGTTATCGTGCTTTAAAACGAAACATGCTTCATGACAGACATGTGAGATGCCCTGACGTTGTCCCACCTTGAGGCAGCTGAAGTCCTGCAGGCCCCACAGCTTGGTGGTGCCGTCTGCAGAGGAAGAAGCCAGGATCTGGTCCACGGGAGAGAAACACACACTCCAAATGCCCCGCCGGTGGCCCCGAAACACACCCAGGAGTCCCAGGTTTCCATCCCCCGACAGAGACCAGAGTTTGGCTGTGCGGTCCTGCGAGCCGGAGGCCAGCAGTTTGTCGTTGGGAGACACTGAAACACTGTTTACGTCCTGCAGAAACAATGAAGAAGAAAACAACAGGAATCAGCTGGAACGGAATCAAAAAAAAAAAAAAAAAGTTCAGCGCCCCGAAGATTAAAATGTGAAAAAAATGGGGATGTGCTTCAAAGTTTCTCCTCCTGACTGAAATAGATTCTTATCATTTGTGCAAACAAGAGTCGCTTCCAAGGTAATAGGGCTTGACATTTTCACAATGTGCTAAAAGGAATGCAACTCAGCAAAAGGAGAGTTAGGTAACCTGGCACAGATAATACTCTGATTGTTCTTTTGTTCGTCTCATGCCAGAAAGTGTGTGTGTGTGTGTGTGTGTGTGTGTGTGTGTGTGTGTGTGTAGCGGGAAAAACCGTGAGATGTGGAATTTTTTCTTTACGGTATCAGACTGATGGGAGACAAACCCAGGAGTGAGCAAAACTCCAAAAATGATCCTTCTGAGCATGAACCAGTTTCCATGACGACAGACATCTGGACTTGGGATTGTAGCCTGCTTTGGGTACAGAGCGAGATCTGGTTCTACAAATAAAATCTGTATCCACCTTCTGATATTAATAATAATAATAAAAAAACACATATCAAACATTTAATTGTTTGTGGATCTAGAGAAGGTGCTGCTCAGCTTCTTCTTCCTTAACCTCAATATTTAACATGTAATTAAGGTCAAATGTTGGATGGAATATGCATTAAATCAATGACACAAGACTCTCT